TTTTCACAATGTTGAGTCTTCCTATCCATGAGCAAGGTATGTTTTTCCACTTATGCAGGTCTCTTTTGGTTTCTTGCAGTAGCGTCTTGTAGTTTTCATTGACAGTTGTGTCTTTAAGTCTAAGGTATTTCTCTTGCAGGCAGCATATAGACGGATCATGTTTTTTTTATCTAATCTGCCACTCTCTGTCTCTTTACTGGTGCATTTAGTCCATTTACATTCAGTGTAATTATTGATAGGTATGAGTTTAGTCCTGTCATTTTGATGTCTTTTTTGTGTGTTTCTTTTTTGACAGTTGCTTTGTTCCACTTAATTTTCTGTGCTGAGTCGTTTTTCTGTATGTATTTTCTTTTCATCTTTTTCACTGTTGTTGATTTTGTATTTGTTGAGTCTTTATATTTTTCTTGTTTTTTATTATGATGTGTAAGATTGTTAGTTTCCTTTGTGGTCACCTTAATATTTACTCCTGTTTTTCTGAGTTTATACCAGTCTTTTTTTTCTTTATATTGCCTTGACTTCCTCTCCATATGAAAAATCTATGTCTACTTTTTTAGTCCCTCTTTTTTGTTTTCATGTTGTCATCTTTTACATATTAACATCTTTTTCCCTATTTTCAATGTTTTAGCTTTGATTTATTTTTGTGACTTCTCTATCTGGGTTGATGTCTGGTTCCTCTGTCCTGTGTTCTAGTCTTGAGTTTTTATCTGATGTTACTGGTTTTCTAACCAGAGGACTCCCTTTAGTATTTCTTGTAATTTTGGTTTGGTTTTTGCAAATTCCCTAAACTTCTGTTTATCTGGAAATGCCCTAACTTTGCCATCATATTTGAGAGACAGTTTTGCTGGCTGTATAATTCTTGGCTCGCAATTGTTTTCGTTCCAGGCTTTACATATGTCATCCCATTGCCTTCTTGCCTGCATGGTTTCTGCTGAGTAGTCCAAGCTTATTCTAATTGACTCTCCTTTGTAGATGACTTTTCACTTATCCTTAGCCACTCTTAAAATTCTCTCTTTATCTTTGGCTTTGGCCAGTTTGATTATAATATGTCTTGGTGACTTTCTTTTGGGATCTGCCTTATGTGGGGTTCAATGAGCATCTTAGATAGATATCTTCTCATCTTTCACAATGTCAGGGAAGTTTTCTGCCAACAAATCTTTGACAATTCTCTGTATTTTCTGTTATCCCCTCCCTGTTCTGGTACTCCAATCATTTGTAGATTATTCCTCTTGACAGAATCCCATGTAATTCTTAAGTTTTCTTCATTTTTTAAAATCCTTTTATCTGATCTCTTCCTCAAATAAGTTGGTGTCAAGTGCTTTATCTTCAGTCCTACTAATTCTAACTTCCATTGCCTCAATTCTTCTCCTATGAGTTTCTATTGAGTTGTCTAATAATGGAATTTTATTGGTAATCTTCTGTATTTCTGATTAGTGTCTCTCTATGGATTCTTGCAGCCTCTTAAATTTGTCATTACGCTTTTCTCTAATCTTCTTAAGTTCCTCTTTGCGTGTTCTGCATTATGCCTAATTTTCTTCCTGATATCTTGAAGAGTTCTGTATATTAATCTTTTGTATTCTGCCTCTGGTAATTCCAAGAAATTTTCTTCATTTTGGGAGCTTGCTGAAGCCCTCATGGACTGCCTCTTTATGTGATTTGATATTGACTATTGTCTCCAAGCCATCAATAAGTTATTAAATTTATTTATTTTATGTTTGCTTACTGTGTCCTAGCTTCTTGTTTTGATATGCCCAAATAGGCTGCCCGTGTGAACTAGCCCAATCCCCAGTGCCCCTGAAGTGCCAACGTCCTGCCGCCAGGTGGCCATACCTGCCACTAAGTATGTGAGCCAAGGAGTCCACCCACTCCTCCTGTATGGATTCAGCTCAGGTGTCCAGGTAGTTGGCCACCAAGTATGTGGTGTAGGCTCTCACCTACAGTCCTAGACTGGCGTGGGTGATTGGTGTAGGCACAGGCATCTGGCTGCAGCAGGGGGACACATGCTGAGCAAGGCAGGGGACCAACAACCACCCCCAAGTGTCCAGAGGAAAACGTGTCCTTGTTCCCTAGAATGCATAGGTGGGTGGGTTTTGCAGCCAGACTATAAGCACACAATGCGTTGTCTGTAAGGACTAGGGGGCACCTCTTATACTTGGGCCCTGTCACAGGTGGCTAGGTGGTGTGGGTGGAGTCACCAGTTCTCAGGCCCCTGATGTGGGTAAGTGAAAGCCCAGCTTAATGGGCAGAGCAGTGTCAAATGTCATGAACCTGCCACTTTGCAGCTGAAACATTTGAAGTTAGACTTCAGGTATATACCCTGTTATACTGTGGTAATGAGGGTCTACGCTGTTGAAATGGGCCCACACAAGTCTATGCAGGGAGAAAGGCACTCAGAGTCTGTGGATCCCTTATGCCTGTGCCTAGGCAAAAGAGCTGTGCCTACCTTGAATTCCTGGCTTAGGGAAGCTGACAGATTATTTTTTCCTCCCTATTTGTTAATTTGTTCACTCTCTAAGGCCTGGAGAATGGCCCAGGGCATGTGACAGGTCCTACTTCCAGCCCAGGGGACTCGGAAATTGCTGAAGCTGGTCTGGGACCCAGTGCAGCGCAGGGGGCAGGGAGGTAAATGGGAGAGAGGTTTTTCCCAAAGGGGGGTGTTTTTGATCTGCTCTGTAGGCCGGATGCAAGTACTTATCTTTCACCAATCGAGCGCTGCTTCTCACTGGTTCTGGGTGGCTTAGTAGACTCTCTGCCGCTGGGTCTCTCCTGGTGTGGAAAACGCCTCCCGAGCGCCGCTGCTTGCCTGCCTCACCGCACACCAGGAGCTGATCCAGCCTGAAGGGCTCGGGCTCTCACCAGGTCAGGTCTGGCAACTCCTTGCTGTTTCCGAACCATCTCTCACTCCCCCGCCACTCAGTCTAATTCCTCAACTTTGCCTTTGATGTTCAGGGCCCCTAGATTGTTGTATATGATCAATTCACTTGTTTTTTTGGGTCTTTGTTTTGAGAGGGAACACTGAAAGTGTCTGACTACTCTGCCATCTTGCCCCCCCCCCTTTTAGTTTATTTTAAAAAAATAGTTTAAGCATAAAAGGGCTTTTTATTTTATTTTTTAACTTGCATAGCTCGGAGGCCAGAAGCACTATTCTAAGTATTCTAAATGGTTTGCTTCATTTATTTGTCAAAACCTCCCTAGTATTATCTCCATTTTATAGATGAGGAAGCTGGAGCAAAAAGAAGTCACTTGCCCAAGGTCACACAGCCAGGAAGTGGGGATTTGAACCCAGGCTATCTGTCTCCACAGCCCACACTGTAAACCAGACCTGGCACAGCTAGATTGAGGGCCTCAGACTAAGTCATCAGAAATTATTTCTCTCTCTACGCCTCCTGGTTTTGCTTTGCTCTGAGAGGACTTTAGTCTCAGTGAGGCTTTCCCAACATGATAGCAGACATGTGGCCAGAAGTCCTAAACTATTTTTACAATTAGCAATCCCAGAGGAGGCTGTAGGGGTGGGGTGCCTCTTTCCCACTCATTTAGAAGAAGTCCCGTGGAGAGCTCTCATTGGCCTGGTTTAAGCATATACCTTTCCTTAACCAGTCATGGTAGCCGGGGAGGTGGAGTACTTCTATGCAGAACTCTAATTGGCCACATCCAACCCCTAGATACATGAATGAGGAGGCAGTAGGGTGGGGGTCATAGCTACCCTAGTTGGACCACAAGGATTGAGAATAGAAAAAAAGTGCTTCCTCAAAGAGAAGCCAGGCAAGCAAAGATCCTAAGTCCACTACATCTGCTGAGAAGCTATACACACTTAACAGTACCAGTTGCTGTTGAGTTGATTCTGACTCATGGCAACCACATGTGTGTCAGAGCAAGGTATCCCACAGGGTTTTCAATGACTGATTTTTTGGAAGTGTAGATCACCAGGCCTTTCTTTGAAGGCATTTCTGGGTGGACTCGAACCTCCAACCTTTTGGTTAGCAGCTGAGCACATTAACTGTTTACACCACCCAGAGACTTCTATACACACTTAGTTTGCCTTAAGATAAAGCACTATCCACTTCCAACCACCCTCACTGTCTTCCAGGTGATTGTTCAACGGTCCCTGGCTGCCAAGAACCTGTCCCATGCCAAAGGAGGCTCTCTGATGGCCGCATACCTGAAGTTGCTGCCCCTTTTCATGATGGTGTTCCCTGGAATGATCAGCCGTGTCCTCTTCCCAGGTGAGAATTCAGTTGGGAGGAGAAGCCATCTGTCTGTGAGTCTCAGCCCCTCTCAGACACTACGAAGTCTTCTACACATATTACTGCCTGCCCCCAGAGAATGGACTGGAGTCCCTTCCTAGTGATGGTTAGACTTGAGGTGTCTCCATCCAGGCATCTCCTGACTCTCTGCTGTTTATCAATATCGGCTCAGTGGGCAAGTCCTATAGATGTCCCAGGCTAAATTGAATAGAGATTCATTTGGGGCCCTGCCTCAGCTATGTTTTTTTGAAACCACAAACTAGGTGCAAATTCTATAGTTCTAGGTATCAGTTCCTTGAGTGTTTGAGTTCAGTGGTTTGATAACTTTGGCCCAATGGAAACTTCTGTCTTTGGGTATTGTTCTTAACAAAAATCAGGGGATATCAAGGCCTCAAGGGTATTTGTCTTGGCTTTTTTTTTTTTTAGGTGGTAAAGGGATGGGGTTTGCACTGTGGGGTAAATAGAACTGAGGAGGGAGGCAATATTATGGGGAGGGGGTCACTGTGGCATCAGGAACTGGTGGCCTGTACAGAAAACAATCTCCCCTCTTTCCCCCTCAAACAGTGAACGTCCCCCCCAATCCACCGAGGCTGTTATTAACTAAAAGGGGAGTGTGGAGCAGAAAGTTTCCTCCCCTATGCCCTGTTCTACACGATGTCACGCAGAAGTAAACAAAAAGGTAGGATGAAATGGTCAGTTAGTTGGCCCAGAATTTTTGTCAAAAAAATTTAAGGCCCTTAGAATTAGGAGGAAAGGGTTGGGAGAAGGATAATAGGGGAGCTGCCCATGTTGGCAGACTTTGGGGGCAGAGATAGGATGAAGAACCCAGAATCACTGGTCTTATTTCCAGGGAAGGGGGACAAGGCTTGGAAAAGCCCAGATGGGAGTAAGAACTGGGACCTGGGGTTTGTGGTGACCTGATGGAAAATACACAGCTATTGGGCAAGGCTTGACATATGAAGTGAAAGAACCTACCGGTGTTTATTGTGTATTTGCCAAGGGCCAGTCCCTGTGCCAAGAGTTTTACAGTAGAGTGTGGTGGTTATGAATGTGGACTTTGAGCTGGGCTGGGTGGGCTCGAATCTAGGCTCTGCCCCTTGCTAGATGTGTGACCATGGGTAAGTCACAAAAATCTCTCTTTGCCTGACTTTCCTCATTTGTAAGATGGAGATAACAATATTTTGTAAGGCTTAAAGCAGTCCCTGGTATATGGTAAGCACTACATAAGTGTTCATTTTTATTCTTGTATACACGTATTATTTCATTTATTCCTTAAAATGACCTTAGGAGATAGGAACTATTTTTGTTATTTCCATCTTACAGATAAGAAAACAGACTCAGAGAATCACTCATTGATTTACTCTTACATGTATTCAACAAATAGTTTGGGAGCCAGTTATCCGCTAGAACTTATTCTAGAAGATCCTGGGGATTCATAAGTGAATAGGACATATATGATCCCTGCTTTACTGGGGCGTCCATACTAGTGATGGAGGAAATAGATGAAAATAAGTAAATAAATAAATGAGATAAATATTGATTGTGCTGAGTACTGTGAAGATGTATGTCACAGCTCAGTGCTGTGACAGGGATACGTTGCAGGGAATGCTCTGTAGGGGCTGCTTCAGACAGGGTGTCCAGGGAAGGCTTCTCTGAGGAGGCAACAATTGATCCCTGTGGACAATTGGACTTATTGATGGGTTGGATGTGGGGATTAAGGAAAAGGGAGGAATCCAGGATCACTCCTGGGCTAAGTGACTTGACAGAGGTTATTTGGTGAGCCAGTGTTTGACCCCAGGTCTATCTGCATACAAAACCTGACTCTTAATCATTACATGCTACTGTATCTCCCAGAAAATTACACCTTAAGCTCTGCGTCAATATCTGGAAGATCAATAAAACGGTCTTAACCATCTCTCTTAACAGACAGCTAGCCAATCAACAGTCAATCTTAAATGAGACATAATGCCACGTTCTATGCCCCCCAAGGATTTTGGAATGTAACGGTGAGTCCGGTACTCATGAGAACCATAGAATAAATACATACATTAAAACACTCTATCATATGGTACAAGCAATAAGTGCAACAGGAATTTAGGAGAGTGAGGGAAAGGGTGCAGTGGGCGTTGTATATTTGAAGTCTCTCTCATTTCTCTGGGTGATGCAAATAGTTAATGTGCTCAGCTGCTAGCCAAAAGGTTGGAGGTTTGAGTCCACCCTGAAGTACCTCTGAAGAAAGGCCTGATGATATACTTCCAAAAACTCGGCCATTGAAGACTATGGAGCACAGTTTTACTCCGACATACACAGGGTCGCCATGAGTTAGAATCGACATGATGACAGCTGGTATTTTTTGGTCTCTTTTCTCTAGAGGTCTAAGCCTGTGCTATTCATGGTCTGGTCCCCAGTCCAGCAGCATCAGTGTAGCCTGGGAAATTGTTACAAATGCAAACCTTCAGGTTCCACCCAAAACCTACTGAATCAGAATCTCTAGGGATGGAGCCCAGCAATCTGCTTTTTAACAATCCCCCCCAGAAGATTCTGATACATGCTGAAGTTTGAGGACCCCGGCCTATAGTGCCAAGCTCTGGACCAAGCCTCTCCACCATCCCTTTTCTGCTTTTCTGTCCACATCAGCTCCACCAGCTCCTTGCTGAATATTTAAATGGGTCTGGAACTGCCTACAATGATGCTATGATTCTCGGCTCTTATGAGTCTGGATAAATCCCTTTTCTACTTAGTCCATCTAAGAAATGGCATGCATTTAAAAATTTGTTTATTGTGCTAATATATATATAACACAATATTTGGTGTTTTCATCATTTCTAAGTGTAAAATTCAGTGGCATTAATTATTTTCACAATGTTATGCAACCATCACCACTACTCATTTCCAAAACGTTTTCATCACCCCAAACAGAAACTCCGTACCCATTAAGCAATAACTACCCATTTCCACCTCGTGCCACATAAGCAATAATCTGCTTTCTCTCTCTATGCACTTGCCTATTCTAGATATTTCATGTAAGTGCAATCATACGATATTTGTTCTTTCATGTCTGACTTATTTCACTTAGCATCATGTTTTCAAGGTTCATCAATATTGTAACATGTATCAGAACGTCATTGTCTTTATGGCTGAACAATATTGCATTGCATGTATATACCACAGTTTGTCTATCCATTCATCTGTTGATGGACATTTGGGTTGTGTCTACCTTTTAGCTCTTGTGAATAATGCTGTAATGAAACATGGAAGTGTATATAAGCATGGAATGAAGCTGCAAGTTTACGTTTGAGTCCCTGCTTTCAAGTCTTTTGGGTAGATACCTAGGACTGGAATTCCTGGGTGGTATGGTATATTCCATGTGTAACTTTTGAAGGAGCTTCCAAACTTTTCCACAGTGGCTGCAACTTTTTACATTCCCAGCAGCAATGAACAGGTGTTCCAATTTCTCCAAATTCTCACCAACACTCGTTAATTTCTTCTTTTTTGTTTTGTATTGGCTAGCCTAGTGGGTGTGAAGTAGCATCTCACTGTCGTTTTGATATGAATTTCCCTAATGTCTAAGGGAAGCCCTGGTGGTGCAGTGGCTAAGAGTGTGGCTGCTAACCAAAAGCTCAGCAGTTCGAATCCACCAGACGCTCCTTGGAAACCCTATGGGGCAGTTCTACTCTGTCCTGTGTGGTCACTATGAGTCAGAATCGACTTGATGGCAACAGGTTTGGTTGATGTCTAAGGAGCCCTGGTGATGCAACAGCGAAGTGCTTGGCTACTAACCAAAAGGTTGACAGTTCGAACCCATCGAGCTGCTCTTTGGGAGAAAGAACTGGAGATCTGCTTCTGTAAAGATTACAGCCAAGAAAACCCTATGGGGTAGTTATGCTCTGTGACATGTGTTTGCTATGAGTCGGAATCGACTCGGTGGCACCCAACAACAATGTCTAATGATGTTGAGCATCAATTCATATGCTTATTGGCCATGTGTATAACTTTGGAGAAATGTCTAGTCGAGTCCTTTGCTCATTTTTTTAATTGTTTGTCTTCTTGTTGTTGACTTGTAGGGGATGCATGTATTATTTCAAGGCACTTATATGATAATTGAGAGAGAAGCAAATTACCCTTAAAAAAACAAAACACAAATGTCTAGAAATGTACCTACTTACAAAGCCAATCTTCTCCACCTGCACTTTGGAATAAGAATCTGAGTCTGGCCTTAATCCTTACCAGCTTGGGAGAGCTATTTAACCTCTGTGGGCTTCAGTTTTCTAGTTTTTAGGATGGGTCTAGCAGTATCTTCCCCACAGAGCCATTGTGAGAATTCAGTGACAAGGTACGCGTACAGCATTTATTGCAGCATGAGTCACAGTGAACCGCCACTGACTGTTGCAATGTTCGGATTTGCCTCTGCTAAAAGCATCCTTCATTTCAAGCTTCAGAGGTGCTGAAGCTTTCTGACGAGAGACCTCACTCCATATCGAAAATGGTTGATTAAACGAGACAGGGGAGCAGATGTTACTGAATGGCGGGTTAATGACCACAAAGCTATAACTTAGCTGAGCCAACTCATTTCCAATGACCAGCATACTCTTTAGGCTGAATCCATAACCAGAATTTTCCACAGGCAACATGCTTTCTAAGCTTTGTGTCTGTCGCATGTTTCATGGGTTGAAGGTTGCATTCCTGGAAGGTTAAACAAAAAATTTGTTGTTAACAATTAAATATCTCAGGGAGGTTTATGCTCCTTCTCCAGACACCTTAAAAAGAGGAACTTTGGACAGCAAGAGGCAGAGCTCATATAGATTTGAACTTAAATAAGACCTCCGCCCTACTTAGGAGGCTCTCTACAGTAATCTGGCCACAGGAGTGTAAATGTTTTCTAATCTTCTAAGCTGCCTCAGAAGAGTAATAAAAAGCCAAGAACTTTGACCTCGCAAAAGCATTTTTTTCAACAAGTTTTCTTCTTCCCAATACTTCCTAGCAAATGTCATTTTGGTCTGCAGTTTTAAATATTCCCAAAGGTGAACCAGAGTTCAACTGGGGGGCATCTACTTTTATTCCATAGCAATTGCTATTAGTATTATTATCCGTGGCCACAGCACCTACTTCCTCTACCATCAGCAAGTGATAGTGAGGCAAAGGGTCCCAGCCTCAAGAAGACATGGCAGTGGGTAGAGGCGTTTCACACAGACCAGTTATCCCTTGGGTCTCCCAATGGATGAAAGAGCCAATTTTCATTTCTCAGCTCTTCTGAAACATTAAAAAAGAAAATGAAGACAATATACTTTTTAACTGTGGTGGATTGTGTATACTTTGTTTACATTCATCAAATTAACATTTTAACACAAATAAAAATATGAGAACTAAATACATACCCTCATCCAGAGATACTACCAAACATCTCCATTAAGGCCATTTGTGAATTTGAGATCTCAGCTAAAGGCCATCAGGGCATTGGTTGCATTGAACAAAGGTAGAGACTGACATGAATAATGAAGGGCTGCATTGTCATTCCTAAACTGAGGTTCAGGGTGGTTTACAGTCACCATAGAAGATGTGCCACACAGCAGTGTCACCAATCAGAATGAGAAGGAAGGACTGAAGCCTTTGGATTGAGCAGAGGGAGGGACTGGAAGTTATTTCTGGGAGCCATTCCTAGATCTACTTGGCAAAAGAGATTTGCAAAGTAATATGGGGTTCAGCTAGACTGGGCCATGAGAGGGGTGAGTGGTGCTGGATAGGCACTGAGATGGTGGTAAGGAGCACCGGTTAGCTCAGATGTGAAGAGCTAAGGAAGACAAAAGATGACAAGAAGTCATCATTCAGACACAACATGCAGGAGTCTAAAGGTCCTGTGGCCAGGTGCACTCTGGGCTGAGGAACCCCAGTGAGCTGGGATGCAGCTCACCTATCCCCAATAGGTAGGCTCTGGATGGGGCCACTGCCGGACTCACTAAAGATGGAAAAGCGTACACTCTCTTGGCCTTTTTTCCTTGAAAATTGGACTGGGAGTTGGGAGACCTGGGTTCTGGCTCTGACATGACCTTGCTGGATGATTACAATCAGGTCGCTTCCCCTTGCTGAGATTTTTTTCTCCATCTTTGAAAAGCTAAAAAGTAATATCTGCCTTCCTCAGACGGTTGTGAAAAGTTATTAATAATAATGTGATAGAGAGTCCCTCCCCCAAAAAATTTATTGAGCACCTTCTGTGTGCCACACACTAGTATGTACAATTTTTCTCTCCTCTTTGTCTTCCAAGCAGACAGCCTATACTTGTCTGCTTGGAATGTGTTCATCACGACAGTAAGCAGAGGTGAAGAGCTAGTGATGTCAGGAAGACTAGATGAATTACATTAGAGAGACCAGAGAGCAGCTCAGGAGAGAAAAGAATTGACATAGAAATGCAGGAAGAGAAGGGGGGAGAAATTCACAGCCAGCCTGGTTGGGCGTTTGTGAGTGTAAAATGAGACAGCTGTTGAACTGTATGAGCTATTAAGAAAGAGATGGGGGAAAGAAATAATTTTAAAAAACTTTCCATGTGTCAAGCAATAGGATTCTCCTTTTGCACCTCTGAGGAACTTCTGTAAAGATATGAGTTGCTTTCAGTGCCTTTTTATAAGGTGGTGAGAGGATAGAGGCTAAAGTAGGACGCTGTGGCGAGACTGGCCTCTAGGGAGCTCAGCTTTATTTGGGTTACAGAAATAATAGTTGGAGTATATTCAGCACTTTCTATGTATCAGACCCTGTACTAAGTCAATCTTCACTATAATCTTATGAAACAGACTCATATTATTATTCCAGTTTTAGAAATATGGGAACTAAGTAACAAGATAACAGCTCATACAGTCTAGGTTTCTTTTCTTTCTCTCTCTCACTGAGCTATAAACTTAAATACAATAAATAGGAAACAAATCTTAAGCCTATAGCTTGATGAACTTTTCATGTGAATACATCCTGCATAACCACCACCTAGATCAAGATATAGACTATTTCCATCATCACAGAAAGTTCTGCATGGCACATATAGAACATTTCCATTACTCCAGAAGGTTTCCTTGTGCATCTTCCAGCCAATAATCTCCCCACCAGAGGATACTACTATTCTAACTTCTATAACTACAGAAATTTTGTCTGTTCTTGAACTTCATATAAGTGGAATTACTCAGTAAGCACTCTTCTATGCCTGGCTTCTTTCACTCAACACAATGTCTTTGAGATTCATCTATGTCATTTTATCAGTAATTCATTCTTTTACTTTTTTTGCTGTGTAATATTCCATTGTATGAATATGCCACACTTTATCCTTTCTCCTGTGGATAGACAGTGTTGTCATTTCCCAAAGCCTCTTCTTACCCACTACACTGTACTGCCTCCCATAGTATAAAAGGGTGCTGGGTAGGAGGCCCACTGCAGGGTCCCACTCTCCAAGAAAGACAAAGCTTGGTCTCTGGAGTCCTTGTCAATCACCCCCGTCTCCTGGTGCTGGCCTGTGTCAGGTCATGTTCAGCTAGGCCTGGGGCTTTGAGGGTCTGTCTTCTCAACTCTGAGACTGTATTTTCTCCACAGACCAAGTGGCTTGTGCAGATCCAGAAATCTGCCAGAAGGTCTGTAGCAACCCCTCCGGCTGCTCTGACATCGCATATCCCAAACTTGTACTGGAAATCCTACCCACAGGTAGTGTTCCCTCACCCTTAAATCAAGTCCCTTAAAGCACCCAGAAAGGATTTGGCTGGGCTCTGATCTGAGGGAGGGGTGAGATGAGGGGGCTGTTGGGAGACGTATGGGCTCTAGGCTGAAAGGCTGAGCCCCAGAGCCAGGACCCCCCAAATACAGTTCAAGTCCTGGCTACTCAGGGGGCTCCAGTCCTTAGTTCTGCCTCCTCAGAGTAGAACCCATTGGGATCAGCTGGTGGTGGGCCTGGGTAATGGGGTCATGAGTGAAGGCAGCAGCTATTGACAGAAAACGCCTGAGGCTCTTAGACCTCTCTTCTGCTCCCAGGGCTCCGTGGGCTCATGATGGCTGTGATGGTGGCGGCGCTCATGTCCTCCCTCACCTCCATCTTTAACAGCTCCAGCACCATCTTCACCATGGACCTCTGGAACATTTTGCGACCTCGGGCAACTGAGAAGGAGCTCATGATTGTGGGCAGGTAAGGCCTTGCTGGGCGGGGCCAGGCAGGAGAATGAAAAGTCCAGATACCCAGGAAGGAAAGATCTGAACCCACTCAAAGGCAAAGTCCAACAGCAACTTCTCCAGGTGGGCTCAGCCTCCTCTGATAGGAAAGGTGGGGAACACTAGGACTCCATGTATGAATAAATCATTCACTCACTCAAGAGATGGCCAAGATGTTCAGTGAACACCTACTATGTGCCAGCCAGAAAACCAGCCAGACAATGTTATGGATCACAGTGATCTGATCCTGTTGTGCATGGGGTCACCATGAGTCAGGGGCTGACTCCACGGCAGTTAACAACAACAAACACAAAATAAGTCAATTATATGGAATATAAATTATACCTTAATAAAGCTATACAAATAAGAAAGAAGTGTTTAGGCACGTGGTGAGATGGCCTCAGGGAAGACAGCACTAATGGAGGACTCTCTCCCGCTGGCAACAGGGTGTTTGTGTTGCTGCTGGTGTTGTTCTCTATCCTCTGGATCCCTGTGGTTCAGGCCAGCCAGGGTGGCCAACTCTTCATTTATATCCAGTCCGTCAGCTCCTACCTGCAGCCGCCTGTGGCTATTGTCTTCATCATGGGATGTTTCTGGAAGCGGACCAATGAAAAGGTAGCCCTTGATCCACCCCTCACCATATAAGAACCAAGTGCTGCCTCCCAGCTCAGCCCCATGAGGGTTAGGGGAGGACGGGAGTGGAAGGGACTGAAGAGGAGACCTGAGGATGAGGTTGACTTGGGGGTCTGTTGGGAGGGTGAAGTTCTGTGGAGGAAGATACAGGAAGCATGTTACCTGACCTTTGTAAAAAAAAGCAGTGAGTGTTCTCAGAAGTATTTTGATGCATTTTGTCATTAAACAGGGAAATTGAATTAGCAGGGGATGAGCAAATGGAGCCCTGATGGTGCAATGGTTAAGAGCTCAGCTGCTAACTGAAAGGTCAGCAGTTCGAATCCACCAGCTGCTCCTTGGAAATCCTATGGGGCAGTTCTACTGTCCTATAGGGTCTCTATGAGTCAGAATCCACTGGACGGCAATGAGTTTCAATGGGTGGGAGCAAATTATACGTAAACGATCAATTATATGTAAAAGATAAACAGATAAGCAGCTCCAATACTTTTCGAATCATTGACCCCAGCAGTGACTGTCACAAGAAAGAAGCTCTTGAGACAGCTTCTGGAGGTCTCAGGAGACCCAAGCTGGCAGCCCTCTAGCCCCTGATGTCTCTAAGATGGTTGTGCTCTGATGCACAGGGTGCCTTCTGGGGCCTGGTCTTGGGCCTGCTCCTAGGCTTCATTAGGCTGGTCCTGGACTTCATTTACCTGGAACCTCGATGTGACCAGCCAGATGAGCGCCCCACAGTGGTGAAGGACATCCACTACCTCTACTTCTCCATCATTCTGTCCACGGTCACCCTGGTCATCGTGTCCACCGTGAGCTGGTTCACAGCGCCACCCTCCAAGGAGATGGTACCTTCGGGTTTGACTACATTTTTGTCTCAGCTCTTTGTTGCAACCAATAGATCGCTGGCTCAAACTAGTTTAAGCAACAAGGATTGATTGTTCAAAAAGCTGAAAAATCCAGGGTTAAGCTTTAGGGATAGCTTGATTCAGGACAGAGTCCCTGGGTGGTGCAAACAGTTAATGCGCTTGGCTGCTAACCGAAAGGTTGGAGGTTCAAGTCTACCCAGAGGCACCTTGAAAGAAAGGCCTGGTGATCTACTTCCAAAAAATCAGTCCTTGAAAACCCTATAGATCACAGTTCTACTCTGACACACATAGTGTGGCCATGAGTCAGAATCAACTCCACCGCAAATGGTTTGATTCAGGTTTGATTCAAGACTCAGAAAGTGTCATCAGAATCCATCTCTCACTTCCGATTCTGTCCTCAGGCCCCATGTGGGATCAGTAACTTCTAGGGATACACCCTCGCTTACTCTCATTAAGCAAAAGCATAAGCATTTTCTCCCCAACATTTTCAGCAAAGTTCTTTATTCCCATTGATCAAGTCAGTTGAAGACACATGCTTACCATGAACCAGTTCAATCCAGAGGAATGGATGAGCTGAAAGGCTGACCCACAGATCCCACAATGCTCTAGGGCTTCGGATAACCCCAGAGGACTAGAACAAGGGAGGATTAGGTCCCAAGATGAGAATTAGGTCTATTGACGAAAGATGGAGAATTGAATGGGGGGAATGCCCATTGCATCTAAGAGGGCAGGAAGCTGAACCTTGTTGGCGGGTGAGATGAGATGAGACGGAGCCAACCCAGATGTGAAGGCTGGTCTTGGGGTTAGGCAAGGATGGGAAGAAGGAGTGGTAGCCCCCACCCCCCCTCACAATTCATCTGTGCTCCATAGGTCAGTGGCCTGACCTGGTTTACTCATCATGACCCTGTGGTCCGGAAGGAACAGGTGCCACCTCTGCCTCTTACCCTCCCTCAGAATGGGACACCGGAGAGTAGCAGCACCAGCATCCAGCTGGAGATTGTTCAAGAAAACATGTCCCAAACCCACAGCTGTGAGTTGCCTCTCTCCTCGGTTACAGTCAGAGCCTCAAGACATATTATGTGTTTAAGGGGAAATTTTTATATCAAACCACAAGCCAGAAATGGGTACAGACTTGGAATTTGGCATCCTCTGACTCCCAACAACTGGTCCTTCCCACTCTTCAGCCACCCTAAGGAGGTTCTTCACTAACTTTCAACGGAAGCCTCCGAAAGGCAATAGTAGCTGACACTTGTTGGGTGCTTACTAAAACTTGGTTTGTTGAACCCTCATGCAACCCTACAAGGTGTGTTGGAGTTATTAGCATTCTGTAAATTAGTTGTTTCAAACTGTCAGCTTGCAGATGTATTTTGGTTTAGCCCACTTACTGTTTTAATAAAATGTGAGTTAACATTTTAAAAAGTTGGGAGATTTCACATAAAATTCCAGAATTCCATCTTCGCTTGAAAAATGGGAATATCTGGCAACACCGAGATCACCTGTCTATGTGGAAAAAGTTGTCTGGAGCTGCAAAGCAGCTGCCGCTTAGACCTGGGATAGGCCTTCCAGTGAGCCAAGGTCCCCACAAGTCCCTATTGTCTCCATGACTTTGAGGCTGTACGTTGTTGTGGGCTTTTTTTTTTTTTTTTTTTTTTAATTTTTGGTAATTGTAGATATGAACTCATGTCAAACTAAACCGATGAAACTGAAGGAAAGACCCAGAAGGCCATGTGTTTAAAGAAAAATAAAAGAGAAAGTTTTTTTTTTTTTGGCAGAGGTGAAGATTATTTCAATATGTCTAATATACAAATCTGTTCCCCTTGACACAACCTCCTGGGCTCAGTAGGCATTTGAGTTTGCAGCCCTAGCGCCGAATGGAGAAAGAATTTCCCACAAGAGTGCTCATTTCCTTCAGCTTCCTGGAAAGCAATGTGAAGCAGAGCAGGGCATCAGATAGAGCGATGTCCAGAGTCCACCTCTGCCACTACTTATCAGCTGTGTAGTAACCAGCTTAAGTGAGTTAACCCTCTGAGCCTCAATTTCTTCATGTGAAAATGGTGGACATCCTGAAAATACCAGTCTTTCAGAATTAGGCAAGAAAGGTACATAAAGTACTTATCACAGTGCACAGAACACATCCTGTTAGTCCCCTTCTCCCTTCTCCGGGAGGCATGGCCCATCTCTATGACCTTTCTTTGCTTGGTACTTTTCAGGTGCTGTGACCCCAAAGCAGTCCAAAGTGGTGAAAGCCATCTTGTGGCTGTGCGGGATGGAAAACAAGGGCAAGGAAGAGCCCATGAGCAAAGTGGAACCTGTCATAACTTTCTTGGAAGAAAACCCCTTCGTGAAAACCCTCCTGGACATCAACCTCATTATCTGCATTAGCTGCGCCATCTTTGTCTGGGGCTACTTTGCTTAATGTTGTCTGAACCCAGGGGTCTAAGCTCTCAGTTTTCAATGTTTTCAATGCCCCGTGTTTTGTTTTTTAATGAAAGAAAAAAATAAAGCTTTTGTTTGTTTACCACGAGGCTTCCAATACGTTTATGGGATATTTTCAACATGACATTTAGCTTTTTTTCTTCTTGAAAGAGAATGAAGAAAGTTAGAAGCTGGAAAAGGGAGAGAAGTGTAAATGCTTCTTTTTCTCGAAAGGCTAGTTATTTCACTCTTCCTGTCCATCATGCAACATCAACAGCCAAATTCAAAGACCCACAGGACCTCCCCTGAGAGTGGCTTCATCTGCCGGGCTGGGTGGTTAGCAGTGGAAGCTTCCCCAGCTCACCTTCACAGTGCAAGGAAGGGAACCAGCATTCTCTCTTGGCTTCTACTGTTACTGACTTTGGGTGCAGGAAAAGCTGGTCCACAAAGGTTTTCTTACTGTGACATGTACTCCTGTATATGATTTCTGGGAAACAGACCCGAGTTAGTGCCCAGAAATCTCGTGCTACAGGAAATTCAGGGAATTGTGTGTACTTCCCAAGTTCTGGCTTAGGCTGTGCGTCTCTGCTTAATTATCCATGATGATGCTTCCCTAAAAACAAAAGCAACCAGAAAGATAAGCAGCTCCACAATGAATCTCTATTGGTCAAGGGGTCAATAGAGGCTTTTGACCTGAAGAACAGCTGTTATGTGTAGAGCCAGACATTATAGCTTCTCTGTTCTGAGCCCTAGAGCTGATGGGATCTGGTGGAGTGACTCACATGTTTGCCACATGTACAGCTAAGAGCAAGAGAGGGCCAATGTGTTTGTCACATGTACAGCTAAGAGCAAGAGAAGGCCAAGAAAGTTAGTCCTGAGACTGTCTCTGGGGTCCGGTCCTGGGAAAAGACAGGGAGAGGCGGGACTGTTGGAGCTACTTACTGGCCCAGAAGAGGTCAAGAATGGTGTAGTCTCTCAAGGGAACCTGATTTCCAGATTTCAAAGTAAAAGGAGGGCTGAGGAGATACTTGCTCACCTAGTCATTCAATACCTCAACACCTGGGTCCTACCCGGTGCCTACCCTTGATGGAAGGACTGGCTTTTCCACACTAATCCAAATGATGGCTGTGGACTGGACAAAGAACACACCTCAGCCCTCCTAAGAAGGGCAGACATAGGGTACTGTGTGCTAACCTAGCTCCTGTAACTCGTTCCTGGCAAGAGCCAGAGGTGGTTTCTGAGGCAAGTGTGGCTTTAGGGGACATCTTCAAGGAGAGGCTGAGCTTCCTTCTCCAGGGGTCAATGGAGGGTGTTGGGAGGCCCGGTGAGGGTTTGAATGAATACTTTCTTCTACAACGATCAGTACAAAGCTGGTTCCTATGAGGTGGAGGTTAAAGATGTCCAACTTTTCCAGATTGCTGTACCACTCCATCATCTCTAACATCAACTCCTCCTCCTCCCCTCAGTACTCTCCCTCCCATCTTTGGGTTCCTTAATTTGCTGCAACATCTCACAGAACTCACAAACCGAACTGTATCAAGGAAATGGCTCACCGTTGTGGAGGCTGCCAAGTACCAAATCCGTGGGTCAGGCGTAGGCTTCTCCTGACTCACGTGGCCATGGGGGCTGATGAACCCAAATTGGAAGGCCAGGCAACAAGGCTGCTGGCTCACAAGGCTGCAGAAATTGGTGAATGAGGTCAAACGATAGGCTGCTGGCCCACTGGGCTGCGAAAGCTGGTGAGTCCCAGAATTGGCAGGTCAGATGGCAGGCCACTAGCTCAAGTCCCAAAATCAGAGGTCAGACAGTGACAAGCTGGATGCAGGATTCAGATGCAGAGGGAGAGAGAGAGAGAGAGAGAGAGAGAGAGCCCTGCCAGATCAGAGCACCCACACATATACACCGAATGCAGGCCACACCCCAGGGAAGGGTGTAACTTGATTAAGGATGGCACCCAAGTCATACCGTCCTGTAAGGCTGTGACTCAAGATACACCCCACACTAATCCTACCTCATTAACATACAGAGGTTAGAATTTACTACATAAAATGGAGGATAATTAGGATAATTACATGAGATCACAAAATAGAGGACAGCCACACAATATTGGGAATCATGTCCCAGCTAAGCTGACACACAACCCCAACCATCACAGTTCCATACACCTTATTTGCATAGTCCCACTCAATCACTGTTTGTGAGTCACAAAGACTATGGCTAGAAGGACCATATTAAGTAATTCATTGCACCTGCAGGGTTCCACTGGCATCCTGAGCTCCTCCCCAACTCTGACGCTCAGCCAAATCCCAGTGGCTGCTCTGGATGGGCACATGAAGACCTCTGTTGCCTCTGGTCGGGGTCAGAAGTGCATTTCATTGGAATTTGTCAAGAGGGCCACCATGTATCCCAGGGCAACACCTCTCTCCCCAGTTACTGCCATTGGCCTCCTAACTGGACATTCTGCCTCTAACTCTGCCCATTCTCCAGCCACAGGGAGAGTGGCCATTCTCAATCCAAATCTGATTAAGTCACTCCTCTACTTAGACTCCTTCAATGACCTCCTCAAACTTGCATGGTGAAGTTCACATACCTCAGTGGGAATCACAATGCCCCTGTAGCTTGGCCCTTCTCCAGCTCCTACTCTGGTCACTGTCTCTTTGTATCTGGTCATACTATTTATTATTCCCATGCTCTCTCCCCTCTGGACCTAGCACGGGGCCTAGCATAAGTGGGCCCCCATGAGTATGCTTGAATGTTGAATAAATAGTTCTTTGCCCCTGCTCTTCCCTCGGCTTAAACACTCCTCCCCCCATTTCCTCTTCTTATTCTAGTCTACACTTAAAGGTCACTTCTTCCAGGAAACTTTCCCTGATCACCTCAACCCCACTATAACATGTGCCTTCAAAGTATGCATCAACTTTTTTATTGATTACTTAACTGTCGTCCTAGCTGGGCTAGGATGTCGTAAGTCATTCATACCTATGCCTAGCACAGTGCCCCCTGGTGAAGGAATGAATGGATTTAGCATCAGAACACAAGTGTCATCTGGCTCCTTGCCTTATCTCCACACCCTGCTCCCCTGCCTGGCTGTCTACTCCTGCCCAGGTACCTATGACCAGGGAACATCCCCTATTCCTTCACCAACTTAGGTCCTTGAGGTCCAAGCTTATGTAGGTGACCAAATACCTGATCCATCACCTGTCTTCTGATCTTTGGGAACTGTGGAACTTCAAAGGCCTCCTTGATCATAGACATTAGCCCCTAGGGTTGCCCTTGTGATCAGCTCTCACATTTAGGCAGGGCCCACAAGCAATCACCAAATCCTTCTGATTCTGCTTCTCTAAGAATGTGTTACTCTGTCCATGTCATTCCCTTCCTGATGCTTCTACCTTAATTTAGGTCAGCATCAGCTCTTATCCAAGGCTTCCAGTCTTGCCCTGACTCTAGTTCATTTTCCATACTGCAGCCACAGGGATCTAAAAAACAAATGAGACCAAGTGATTCCCCTAGTCCCTCAACAGCTCCCTACTGAAGTTGGGGTAACTTCTGAACACAGGTTATCAGGTTCTTCATGCTCCAGCTCTTCTCTACCTCATCAGCCTCATTCTTCACCCATTGCCCACCTCTCACTCAGGTTCTTGCTGTCTCTCACCTCACAGCCTTTGCACAAGTCATTCCTCTGTCAGGAATGCCCACTTCCACCCTTGGAACAGAAGATTTCAAAGGGCGGCTTGAGAAGACAAAGTAAAGTATTATGATGACATGTGCAAAGACCTGGAGATAGAAAACCAAAAGGAAGAACACGCTAAGCATTTCTCAAGCTGAAAGAACTGAAGAAAAAAATTGAATCCTCGAGCTGCAATGCTGAAGGATTCTACGGGGAAAATATTAAACAATACAGGAAGCATCAAAAGAAGATGGAAGGAATACACAGAGTCACTATACTAAAAAGAAGTGGTCAATGTTCAACCATTTCAGGAGGTAGCATATGATCAGGAACCGATGGTACTGAAGGAAGAAGTCCAAGCTACACCCAAGGTACTGGCGAAAAACAAGGCTCCAGGAATTGATGGAATACCAACTGAGATGTTTCAACAAACAGATGTTGCACTGGAAGTGCTTACTCGTCTATGCCAAGAAATTTGGAAGACAGCTACCTGGCCAACTGACTGGAAGAGATCCATATTTATGCCTATTCCCAAGAAAGGTGATCCAACCAAATGCAGAAATTGTTGAACAATACCATTAACATCACATACAAGCAAAATTTTGCTGAAGATCATTCCAAAGTGGCTGCAGCAGTATATAGACAGGGAACTGCCAGAGATTCAACCTGGATTCAGAAGAGGACGTAGAACCAGGGATATCATTGCTGATGTCAGATGGATCCTGGCTGAAAGCAGAGAATACCAGAAAGATGTTTACCTCTGTTTTACTGAATATGTTAAGGCATTCTACTGTGGATAAATTATGGATAACATTGTGGAGAATGGGAATTCTGGAACACTTAATTGTGCTCATGAGGAATCTGTACATAGATCAAGAGGCAGTTGTTCAGACAGAACAAGGGGATACTCCATGGTTTAAAATCAGGAAAGGTGTGCATCAGGGTTGTATCCTTTCCCTATACCTATTCAATCTGTATGCTGAGCAAATAATCCAAGAAGCTGGACTATATGAAGAAGAACGGGGCATCAGGATTGGAGGAAGAGTCATTAACAACCTGTTTTATGCAGATGACATGACCTTCCTTGCTTGCTGAAAGTGAAGAGGACTTGAAGCACTTACTGATGAAGATCAAAGACCACAGCCTTCAGTATGGATTACACCTCAGCATAAAGAAACCAAAAATTATTTCAACTGGACCAATGAGCAACATCATGATAAATGAGAAAGGATTGAGGTTGTCAAGGATTTCGTTTTACTTGGATCCACAATCAATGCCCATGGAAGCAGCAGTCAAGAAATCAAAAGATGCATTGCATTGGGCAAATCAGCTGCAACAGATCTCTTTAAAGTCTTAAAAAGCAAAGATATCACCTTGAAGACTAAGGTGCGCCTGACCCAAGCCATGGTGTTTTCAATCGCTTCATATGCGTGCAAAAGCTGGGCAATGAATATTGAAGACCGAAGAAGAACTGACACCTTTGAAATGTCGTGTTGGCAAAGAATATTGAATAAACCATGGACTGCCAAAAGAAGGAACAAATCTGTCTTGGAAGAAGTACAACCAGAATGCTCCTTAGAAGCAAGGATGGCAGGACTATGTCTCACATACTTTGGACTTGTTATCAGGAGGGATCAGTCCCTGGAAAAGGACATCATGCTTGGTAAAGTAGAGGGTCAGCAAAAAAGAGGAAGACTCTCAACGAGATGGATTGACACAGTGGCTGCAACAATGGGCTCAAGCATCGCAATAATTGTGAGGATGGCACAGGACAGGGCAGTGTTTCATTCTGTCATGCACAGGGTCACTATGAGTTGGAACTGACTTGATAGCACCTAACAACAACAACCCTTGGATTTCACCCGGAGCTTCAGAAGACATTCCTGACTTGGAGGTGTGGGCATCCCTCCCCTGGGCTCTCACAGCTCCTCCCTCTCAGGACATCTCTGTCTCCCCAGCACACATGTGCAAGCTTCCTGAGGGCCTAGACCATGCTTGTATCCTTCATGTTGTTTCCTCAGGGTCGAGGACATCAACACATAGACTGCAGCCTTGTGAGACTCTAAGCAGAGGTTTCAGCTAAGCCATGCCAGGACTCCTGACCCACAGGAACTGTGACATGATAAATGTATGTTGTTTGAAGCCATTAAGTTTGTGCTAATTGGTTACACAGCAATAATAACTGACACAAATATGAGTTGTGTATGTGTGTATGTATGTGTGTGAGAACAGAAGGGTTGGGTGTGGTGGGTGTGGGGAGAAAAAAGTTTGCCTATGGAGTCTCATGGGGTCTATACAGCTATGTGCCTATGGGCGAGTAAAAGAGGATGGACTCTTTACAAGTATATCAATTAGGAATCATTTGGTTGCAAGTAGTGGAAATAAACCCAGGAAAACTTACACAAAGAAAAAAAAATTTTTTTATTATAAGGATCCAAGGGGCAGGCCGCTGGGAGGCTGTTGGGAATGAGAGTGCTCTCCTCTTTGTCTTTTGCCTCTGCCTCTCTCACATCTGCTGACTTCCTCCGCAGGCTGGTTTTCTCTGCTATTCAGAATCCACGGTGGGCGGTAGATGGTCACCCACTGCTCCCAAGCAGTCCTCCAGAAGAGAGGCCCTGTACCAATCAACACTGGCTGGAAGGCGTGGCCACATCATGCCACCATGGCTGTGAGTTGGATGCAGAAAATCACCGTGAACTACAGACACCTCTAAAAGTGGTTTCCAGATAGAGGTGCCCCAACTCTCCAACAATGTCCCCACTTACCTACTCTCCAACTCTTCCATCTTGTTCCCCTTATCTGGCAGCCTAGGTGTTTTGGTCACTTTTTGCCTTTTGGTTGTCTCAGAGCCAGTGGCCTCACCAGGGCAGTAGATCTTTCCTCTTCCCCAACTCCATCAATATCTCAGGAAAAGAGGAAGCCTAAACATCCCTGTTGTGCAGTGCTACCCAAAGGCTGATGCAAGACCCCTAAAACTATGAGCCACAGAGACCACTTGGGACCGTGGAGTAGAGATGGTCGATGGATTTGTGAGAAGAGGGTGAAGGCTCTGGAACATGGTTATAGACCACCAAGCCCACAGTGCAGGTGGGAAAATGGTGGGAATAGATCACAGGTAGAGAAGCCAAGGAGTCCGTGGGTGGTACAAATGGTTAAGCGCTTAGGGGCTAACCAAAAGGTTGGTGGTTGGAGTCCAGAGGTGCCTCAGAAGGCCTGGTGATCTACTTCTGAAAAATCAGTCACTGAAAACCCTGCGGAGCGGTTTACTCCGACACACATGAAGTTGTCATGAGTCGGAATCGACTCAATGGCTACTGGTTACTGGTTACAGAGGCCAAAAGGAGAGTTTGTCTTAAGACCTTCAAATATAAGTACTTGTGGGACTCCCTGGGCTTGGGGGAGCACTGAGGGCTGGAGTACCAAAAGAGAAATGGGGGTCCATCCATTGAGTCCCCAGGGAACCAGGGCCACTGAGATGGTCACCTAGGGGATTTGGTCACTCCCACTACATCTGAACTCTTTAGAAACAATCAAGGGAGCCAGAGGCCCGCTCTGACCCTCTGCAGTCTCCAAAGCACTGGGTGAAGAAAGGCTTCTGTTAGACAGGGACTGAACTGTGAGGCTTGAGAGGAACACAGTGGTGCTGTGGTGCAGGAGCAGGGACACAGAACTAGGTATGAAATTGTTCTGTGGACAACGTAAGAAAAATATCTGAAGGGACAGATAACCAGCAGCATCTTCCTAGAGACCAGCACCTTCCGGGACTGTGACCATGAACTTAGATTACAGAGTCTCTAGTTGGGTGGGGTGAGAAGAAGCTCTATCCTGAGGAGTGCCAGGGAAGGGGACCCAGTGATGCCACAATTCCCCCTGCAGATCAACCACCAGTTGTAAGGATGAGAAAGTCAGAAGATCCGGATGCCACTCCTGGCTCCGCCGCTCAGTCAGCCTCAGTTTCTCCATCTGCACAGGTGTGACGACAGCTCTGCACACTCTACACTGAGCCCCCACACCATGGCTCACCCCATTTAAGAAGAGGGATAGTAGCTTCAGTGTGATACTTACCTTTGACGCACATACAGAATCAAGTAATTTTTATCCTTCTGAAGATTGGGGTGGTTGGTGTAGGAGGCCAACAACAGGAGATATTCTTAAATGAATGGCCTTCATAAATTCTTGGGGTATGGCTTGCTGTATTTCCGAATCAGCAATAACAAAATGCATGATACATTCCAAGGTAGAACTTTCATCCTGGACCTTCCTTGTCGCCGGGCGCCAACACTGTCTGCTTGGCAAGCACCGTGCGCCAGCTTCCTCCTCAGTGTGTGCTATGGCATTTCCCAAGGCCAGGCCACTTGGAGGGGCTCAACGTGAATGAGCAATCTGTTCAGAAATCTTTGCCCTCTCTAGCGAGTGCTCTACTATTAATGGGGGGATTACAGAAAAATAATAGCAAGGGGATGGTGTATGAGGAGGGGCAGAGGGAAACTTCAAAACCAAACAAACCTGCTGCCATTGAGTTGATTCCGACTCATAAAGCAAGTATAAATTTAAGACATAGGGGAAGATGGGTTTATAGGTACATATACTAAATGTAGTTAATAGGTATAGGGAGGACTTTGGGGACACAGGGAGCTTTGAGTTGAGGGAAAAATGACTGCCCTTTTGGAGTTAAATTTAAGCCAGTTCGTAGTGGAGGGAGGTACGATGTCTCCTAAGCAAGGGGTTGGTCACTGACACACCGAATGAATAACCCTCTCAAGGGAAGAGCTTGGGGCGGCCTGCACTGGCAGCATGTGTTCCTCACCATTCACAGGAGAAAACCACTCTGTCTGGGCCACAGGGACAAGGACAGGCATGGAGAGAAGTGCTCTCTGCGACAAGGCAGGGGCATCATCAGAACAGTCACCTAGTCCTCCTGCCTCCTATGCTCCAATTCCCCATTCACTCTTCCCATGCATTTCAATCGTGGGGAAAGAAGAGCCTTAGAAAGGGCATGAAAGCATTCCAGTGACTGGAAAAGGGAAATGCCCATGGAAAGTCATAGCTTCTGACTTATGCATCAGACCTGTAGCGGTTAGGTTGTTGAGTCAGCAGCCAGGAGTCTAAGCATCTCCAGATGGACAAGAAAGGACCGGTAAGACCAAGGGCAGACCCATAACTATGGAACATTCACTGAGGGACAGTCAGTCTTGGAGGTCTTGGGAGCACCTGGGGCCTGGTTTCACTGCTTTGACTGTGCTCTTTTTTTCAAATGTTTACAGCGACAACTACGCCCCCAATGAAGACTCATTCACAATTCTATTTGGTTAAATGACAGCTTGCACGTACACATGCGTATGCCAACACACACACACACACACACACACACACACACCCCTTGTTAGTTGCTGTTGAGTAAGCTCCAACTCCTGGCAACCTTATGTATAACAGAAGAAAATGCTGCCAGGTCCTGTATCATTTTCATGATCATTGGTATGTTTGAGTACACACACATACACACACACACACACTCTACAGTTTTGTCTCCAAGAATTATAAAGTTTTCATATAAACCACAGAATATATTTAATTCAAATTAAACATGAAACTAGAATGATGTTCAGTCCTTATCAAGTAGCAATTACATTTTTTTTTTTTAAAAAAAGAACAGTAAATTTCTTTCTCCATTCTGGCAATCCAAGGCACAAGTCACATGCAGTTTGATGAGGTGACGGATCCAGCGGTCACCATCAATGCTCATGGTCTTGAGGGGGCCAGGGAAGACACAGACCATACTTAATACAAAATGACTGCAGCAAGTCTGAAGGAGAGGAACCTCCCTCCTAAGATATAGGAATAAAAGTCCAAGTAGCAGGAAGTAGGCGACTTGCACAATTAATGGATTTTATTAAATAGATAGTTAACGCATTGCTTCGTACTTGTTCTGAATTGCTGTTGGTGCTGCCTGCATTAACAGCAGTGACAAAAGCTTCTTACACATATCTCGGCAGTAATACTTTTTCCATCATAGGTCTGTTTTGTTTTTTTGGCATGATTTCTTTTCCATTTAAAGAAAGCCACCTTCTTTAAGACACAGGTCATGCAGCTTTAAGTGTCAGCCTCTGCTCTCTCCTGGGCTGTGGAGAAGGCTAAGGCCGGTGTTCTAAGGCCTCCTTCTCCCTCCACTGAAAGCTTTTCGCTGTTGGGTCTGCAGAGGTAACCGTATGCCTGCCCCTGCTCCACTCCCGAGGGTGGACGAGATCAAGGGTAGGAGGCGGGCTTTCTTCACAGGGCGGTGCTCTCTGTTTCATTGTCTATGTCCAGCAGGATGCGGCTGGGCAGGTCTTTGCTTGCCGAGTCTGAATGCAGTTCAGGGAAGATGTTGCGAAGCGGTTCTGAAGCCCTAGAATTGGTGTCTGAACAAAAAACACGAGACATGGGATTAGTGAGTAGTGCCCGAGAGGCTGTCTAAGGTGCTCTGAGAAAAGAGAAGCTGGAGAGTTTAAGGTTCAGCCCATGCACACACACAGGCCCTCACCAGAGGCGAAGGTGCCATCAGGCCTTAAAGTCAGAGCCAAGCCTTTGAGAGCCCGGAGGGAGGGAGCCGGGGGCAGAGCTGCCGCCTGACCAGAGGGTCTCTGTGAGCCCGCGCAGCCTCAGAGGTGAGATGCAAACCTCAAAGGACCTGCTTGCTTTAACTGGGGAAAGGAAACCTTACCCTCATGAATTCCTCAATGCGCTACTTGAAACCTCCTGACAATATGTGGGCTGCAGGACACGATTAGCTTCTCTGGAAAGAACTCCTCTGAGGCTGATGGGTTTTCTGCCTGTTACAAATGCTATGCCCTCACCAGTGACAATCTGAGCCAGATAACTCTGTTTGGGGAGCTGTCTTGTACACTGTAGGATGTTTAGGAGCATCCCTGGCCTCTACCCACCAGATGCCAACGGCACCTCCCTATCCCCAGTATGACAACCAAAAATGTTTCCAGAGATGGCCGCATGTCCCCAGGGGCCACAATCACCCCTGAGTGACAATTACTGAGGTAGACCACCAAATCTCCTGCAAACACTTTCTCTTCTCTTTCCAATATGTGTCCCTCCAATTCCTTTTTCTTGCCTTACCGTGTTGGCTGGAATGCCTTTAGCAGGATGGCAAATCCGCGGTCCTCAAGCCATGGCTCCTGTCTCCCATGCTCACCAGACACCTGCATCAATCTCAGCCCTTTCCCAGCGAGGTTGGGTGGGTCTCAGAGCTCTTATTCACTGAACAAACATTTGCTGAGCACCTCCCACATGCCAGGCACCCTTCTAAATGCCGAGGCGACAGACACAGCCTTCGAGAGGCCTGTGGCCAAGGAGGGGAGACAGGCCCTAACCCTCATCAAGATGGAAGGGTTTGTTTCTCTAGTATTAGAAGCAGGTGAAGGTTCTCACAGTTTGAGAGCCTTGTTAAATGTTTTAGGCCTGGTGTAAGAGAAAGGGAGATTTGTAGTTTTACTACAAGATGGATTTGTTGTAGCTTTACTTTGCCAGGTTAATTAGTCCCAATGGAGAGCAGGGAGGGAACTGTAGCTGGTGGTGGGTGTGCTAGGGAGTTTCCCTGCTATGCTTAAGAGTTGCTTCTCTCATTGGGTATCTGTTAACGGGGATGGAAAATTTGGTGATGGATACGGGCTGGCGATAGTTGCACAACATGACTAATGTAATCAATGCCACTGAACTGTTCATGTCAAAAATGTTGAATTGGCAAGTGTTGTGCTATATATATTTTACCACGATAAGAAAAAAAGAGCTGCTTTGTATACTTGTTGTGGTGTAAAGTTATACCACGTCTGCACTTGCTGGGAGCCACTTCTGACAGTGCCTCTGTTTCCCCGGGGCGGGTACAGCTGGCAAATGCCGCTGCACTTCTGCCTTGCACCGTTCCTGCCTCCATTCCTGTCACAGGCCTGACAGATCTGAGCTTCGAGCCCTGCTGACTCCCAGACCGAGCGCCCCTCTTTGGTACTGTGACTCCTGGGTCTGCAGACCCATTCCACAGTTTCCCATGCACCGCCTCTCAGAGAAATCTGAGACGGGAAAGTTAAATGCAGGAGCTCATCCCCGGGGTGGCAGTCAAATGTCCAACAACCAGCGCAGCCTGGATACTGCAGATACTGCCTGTCAGAACAGGAACTGGCCTGCAATGACTAGCCCGGCCTGACCGGTGCGGACAGGCTGCTTGTCCAGCCGGCCTCACCTGGCCCTTGGATCAGATGTCATCAGCATGTACCTGATTTTTAAAACCAAAGACTCCCTTTTCAATAATAGGATGTATGGTCCATGGTGGGGGTGGGAAGAAGGAGACAGGAGTTTGTGGTGATGAAAAGGCTGGAGATGGTCATGTTAGAAATGCTCTTATCTAACCTCTAGAGGACTGAACGATGAGTGCGAAGGGGGATCCAGGCAGAGGCAAACAGATTTACGCAAGAGCACATGCCATCTCGATGCTCACGAGGCCCCTGAAGTCCTTACTCAACTAGCCCCTCCTCAGGCCTTCTCCTAATGGGGGCCTCCCTTTTGGAACTTGGGGCTGGATTACTCTAGTCAACCCATTTCATTCCTTCTGTCCAATCTGACCCTGTGTCCTGCTTCAACTCTCAGCTGTCTTCTTCTCCGCCCCTTCCTTCATATTTGGGTTTCGTGCCACCAGCCGGGACAGCGCCCCTTCTGTCTCACAAAGTGGGCACCACCTGGCATTCCGTTTATCTTTTGAATTGTAAATCCTTCTTGGCTGAAACTTTCTTAAACATTGATTTCTAGATTTATGCAGGTGTCAAGGAGCCAAGAAGGAGCCATGGTGGTGCAGTGGTTAAGCACTCAGCTGCTAACTGAAAGGTGGGCAGTACGAACCCACCAGCTGCTTCACAGGAGGAAGATGTGGCAGTCTGCTTCTGTAAAAGATTACAGACTTGGAAACCCTATGGGGCAGTTCTACTCTGTCCTATAGGGTCACTATGAGTTGGAATCAACTTGATGGCAACAGGGCTTTAAGGAGCCAAGCAGCTGGGATGCTGAATGCCATTTCAGACAATCCAGGTCTTATGGTACTTGTAAAACCAACTCAGCTGCACTTTGCTGCAGTGCAGTCAAGGGTGGCCCATGTGCAGAGAACCTAGGGCATCCTGGAACTGTTCTCAGCAGAATGGAAGCTGAATGAGGGCAAGGGCTGTATCTGTCTTGTTCACAGTACATCTTCAGTGTCTAGGAGAGTGCCTGGCAAACAGCAGATGCTCAATATGTGCTGTGGCTGGCTGCTAGATGGATGCATGAATGAAGAGTCATTTAGTCTAAACATCTTCCCAAGCTTCCCTTCCTAGAGCCCTAGACAGAGAAGCAGCCGTGCCTCGAGGGCAACGCTGGTGCAAGAAATCCACTGCAAATTCAAACCCTTTATCGTTATCTTAACCCAACAACACAGATGGTGCAGCCAGCCAGTGCCTCTTCTTAGCCCGAAGAGTTTAGAAGAAACTATGGAACTGATAGGAGTTTCTGGGTGGCACAAACGGTTAAGCACTCAACTGCTAACTCAAAGACTGGAGGTTTGAGTCTACCCAGAGGTGACTTGGAAGAAAGGCCTGGTGATCTACTTCCAAAAGATCAGCCATTGAAAACTCTACGAAGCACAGTTCTACTCTGATGCACATAGGGCTGAATCCAGTGGACTCAAAGACAGCTGGTTTTACAGAACTAACAGGCCCTGCGGGGGATACATAATGTGAAGGACTGTATACTAATTAGATTTCTACTTGTCAATCTCTCTATCAGACACAGACCCTTTTCAGAGGCCAAACTTGCTGTCTTTCTCTTTTCCTCATACACCACATATAAATTGTTTTTGGATTTGTACTATTTTGTATTTCTCTCATGATTTATGAGGAACACATATTTGTTACATAATCAGGAAAAAAGTTTATGGTAGGGGTATAAGGGAAGACACTGCCTGCTACCTGCCTTGTCTGGAGACAAGAAATCTTCTAGTGTGTCCCGGGTGGGCAGGTAGATTTCTTTCCCCAGCCCCCACCCCCACTCTTGCATAAGTCAGCTCTTTAAAGACCACAATAAACCGGTTTACACAAAAAATGTAGAAAGAATTACAGAAACGTATGCAAAGCCAACTTTTTTCAGAAAGAGACTAATTTTGAACTACAATAGCGACCCTCTAGGACAGAGCAGAACTGCCCTGTAGGGTTTCCAAGGGGCGGCTGGTGGATTTGAACTGCCGACCCTTTGATTAACAGCCAAGCTATAAACCACTGTACCACTGTGCTCCTAAATCACAACAGACAGCGTTATTGAGCATTTACTCTATACCAGATACTGTGCTAAGCGCCTGACACACATCACCACATCATCTTACTGAACACTCAGGAAATAACCCTACAGCAGCACTAGCCCCACTGTATAGATAAGAAAGGGAGACTCTAGGTGCAATGACTTGCCCAAGGTGACACAGCCAGTACTAGACAGAAGAGGATCACAGCCACACAGGCTGGACTCCGGACTCTGGTTCTTAATCAGCACAATGCTTTTCCTCCGCCCCAAAGGAGTTTTATGTCCTTGGGTGAGGGTTCTGAAAGGGAAGACATTTTCTGAGGAGGTAATGGGTTGTGTCTTAAATACTCTGGTTCATTTTAGAAAAAAGGAGAAAAGGGTTACTTTAGGAAGACACCTGCAGGAACCCTATTTTTTTAATGCCTCTAAAACTCTCTGGCTATGAACTTACACAAAGCATCATTTTTCATTACATACATTCCAAGAAGAGCTGGTCTTTGAGCATACTGCTTACAGCTAAGTTCGTACGGTGGATATTATATGTGAGACAGAGAAAGAGAACGAGTGAGACCTCTCGCCCCTCAGTAACCAACCTCAGTCCATGAGATATGGTTTATTTAGGGCTCTGAAAAACATAACGCAGGCTCCCTCCTGTACTGAGTATCTTTTTTCAGGAAGTGGACCCTCCAAAGGGCCAGAATTGGCATTCTATACTTTAGGGTATCACTCTAGAAGATGTGTTTGTCACTTCAATAATTTTGAATATGTGCTTTAGGTTGTAAATCTACCCTTCAGAAAGTGCAAGGCTACTCCGACAGCCACGTTGACAGATAATGGATCCAAATACATTCTTGAAATGGAAGGTTTCAGGCACAACAGCAGGCTGAGCAAGCCCCTCTTCCTCTCCACTATCACTTTCCTCCAACTCCAGGGTTTGAAGGAATGACTGACTTCCTTCTACTTAACAGTTCTCAGGGCTGAGGAAGACTTTGAGTCAACTTTTTATTATTTTAATTATTTAAAATAATTATTTATTATTTTAATCAAAAGACTCTTTTCAAGTCTCATTGGATATAGATGTTGAAATGATTCTGATATTTACTTATTAAGAATAAATTGCAACCAAAAGTAGAAGCCACTTGAGTGTCCAACCCTGGGTAATCATATATCTGACTGATGAAATATTATGCAGTCACCGAAAAAGACGGTTATAAAAACTACACCATGACATGGGAAAGTGCAGATGACGGAGAGTAAAATAAAAATGCAGGATCAAAATCAGTATACACCAAATCATTATGACCGTGCATCCCCTCGCCTTTCAGAAAAACATGACTAGAGGGGAAAAAAAATAGCAAGATCTGAATAGTGGACTTCTTCGGTTGTAGAACTATGGTGATTTCTTATTACTTCTATTTCCCAGATGTTCTTTAACATCTATCCTTTTTTCTTGATAAATCACTTTCATAATATAAAAAAGTTTAATTTTAAAAGGAGAGCACTCAGAGAACCAGCAGTGTCCAGTTTTTAATGAGTCACTTAGTCTACCCATCACAGAGTGGACGAATGATCCATGGGTTTCTCAGGCTCACTGTACTAAGAAATAGCGTTTACTCCAGAGAATTTTCTTTGTAACCCATCAAACAACGGATATAAGGAAAACCACGTGGTGCATGAGAACCACCTGCATCAGAGTCAGAATATGGATGCCTGGCCCCTCCCCCAGACCGCCTGTGTCTGAATCTTCTAAGATGTTAGCACATGAATCAAATACAGATCCCTGATCAAGAATATTTTTTCTAGATAAAAATAATGATAAATAGCTATCATTTAGACCCACTGTGTATTAAGAACTGTCATAGGTGCTTTTCTTTATCTAATTTATCCCTTCAACAACGATCATCACAAATGTCGCCGCTGTACAGTTCAGCCCGGTTGTGCCTTGCCTGATTTTTACACCAAGAGCTCCCAATTCTAACTCAGGTTTGTCTGACTCTAAAATGTTTGCTGTTTCTACCACACCTCAAGCCTGCCTGGTATAGTATAGAAAAGAACGGAAGTGAAAGATGTGACAAGGCCAGCCCTGTAAACATACTTAGTAGTCAGAGTAATTGACAGCAAGCATGAACGAAGCCGTCTTCCTTTAGTACATGCACTATTAGTAGGGATGCAAGCAGGCGGGGTTGGGGTGACTGGTTAGTAACAGGCATTAGTGCACAATTATGATCATAAAGTAGCAAAAATGCTTTGGCCAATCAGGTGCCTTTTCCTTACCATTAAATATTCCAATTTCAGTTCTTACTGAATATGGCAGGTCATACATCTAAATTATTTAATAAAATGTTTAAATTAGAATACTCTTTTCTACAATCTGTTACTTTAAAAACAGCACGATGTAAACTTTTACTTGGGAAGCTAAAACCCTACTGCTTTCTAGAGTAACAATTAACAACAGGCTCAACATGACACCAGAAACCCTCCATTCTCTGGTGCTGGTTGCTAAGTTGCCGGAAGTTGGCTGCCAAAACCTGCCTGACAGCAATAACTCCCCCAAGAGTTTATCTTAATCCAACTGTAAACAAATAACTTGTTTGCAGGAATTTGTCCGTCTAAAGTGCCAAGCAAAAACATGATGTAATAAAGGACCATCCTGCTCAAGGGAGTTTTGTTTTTACTTCTTGAAATACCCAATGGCTACATCCAAGAATGACTAACAGCAGCATGGTCAACATTAACAGACTCATAAATTCTAAATGCTGAGACCGTCTGTGTACTTCCAACGGTAGTCCAAAGAATTTTAAGAAATTACAGGTTACTTTTGTCAGACAAAGATAACTGTGGTCACCTGGAATTTCTTGAGTTAGGAGAATTCATAGCATAGACTGGCTTTTAAATATTTAGTAAATATTTTCAGAACACGTTTCTCAAAATAAAATTTTACTTATCTGATCATTAGAAAGTATAGTACAGTGCATTACAGTGTTGTAGCAGATCCATAAAATAACCTTCTGGAATAAATACACCTCAGGTGACAGTGATATTAAAAACAGACACAATTCTGGTTCACGGTCTCTCCACCTAAATCAAAGGCATGATTTGGGAATACAATTTTGGTGTGTCACAAGTATTCAAGTGTTAAGAGGCTCAGACTTAATCAGGGTTTAGTCACTTCACTCTGTAAATGATTTCCACACGCAACCCAAGAGGTGGCAACCCAGACTTCTGGATTATTCACCAAGGAGTCAGAAGTGGATAGATGTCTATGTCCCCCTCTGTGTTTTAAAGATTGAACCCTTGTTTTCTCCTTCTGGTTTCCACAGAGAGTCTTACTCAGACCAAAGCTGTGAACACTCTGGCAGGCTAAATAACCCTCAATAGGCTAAGGCTCAGATCGGCTGATTAAAGCGACTGTACACCATAATGAGAGCCTTGTGCCGTGGACCTAAAGGCATGACTTAAATGAGCCCCACAGCACTTCTGAAAAGCTCCTATGGTTTTAGAAAGCAAAATGTAAGCATGCTAGAATACAAAGGAATTTAGTGTAGGATCTTTGGGAGATTTGTTTTTTTGCTTTGGTCCTAAGAATTTCAACATCAAATTAAGAAGCTCCATGCAGTTAACTTGCACTTAAGATACAAAAATTAAAAATTAAAGCTCAAGGCACAAAGGACAAAATTTTCCGTGCTGACCGCACCCGAGTCCTCTTTTGTTGGATGCTGATGAGTCAATCAATGACAGGTAAATCAGGCTGAGAAGAGCAGAATGCTTGTGAGAGGCTTACCAAAAAGAAAGATGACCTTCTTAGTACCTTATCTGCGCATCTGGAAATCGGGCTTTTACTCTACTGACATCTACCTCTTAAATAGGGAGCACTGCAGCTCAAAGTGCTTCTGATAAAAACAGAAGTCATGTCTACATGCCGCAGAATGGATGGCCCATTGACCGCCATGGCATGGGGTCAAATGGCTGCTCCTGAGCACAAGGTCAAAAGCACATACACACAACACAGCTAAGCAGGGGCGTATGGAGCTGCCGGTGCGAGCTGCTTGGGGGTGGTTACAGACCTTAGTCCCGGGAACCTTCCCCACCTGTGAGGGCATTAGGGAGGGCATCTATTAGGAAACAAACAAACAAACAAACCAATGTGGCTTTTTTTTTTAAAATAAAAGCTGAGGAGTCATCAGAAAAAATGTTATTAACCATTCATAACACGTTGAAATTATCCTTAAATGCATTATATTCCTGGAAAAAAAAAAATTTCAACCTCTATAAAAACTCCCTGCTTGAAACTGGACTATAGTAAGAAATAAATCTAAAACCCTAAGTACCATTTTCTTCCCCAACACACTCAGAAATAATTTATCTATTCATAAATCAAAAATTAGAAGATTTAGAATAGAAAGATTCGAAATACAATTAGATAAAATGGCCGTGTTCTAGACTGCCAGTAAAACACCCCAGGACCTATCTAAAATCTGCAGTCACCACCACTCCAAAACAAGTTTACACTGGGATTATGGGAAAATACAGATTCTTCCCTCCTAAGCCATTAAAGGCTCCCTTCTCAGGGCACCCAGTTTGGCACTCGTCATGCTTTTTAAAAATTATACCTGAAATTCATTTCCAATGAACATTGTACTCTTAGAAGGAAAACAAGCACTTTAATGAGGAAATGAATTTCATGTTCACGTTGTACTGTGCCTTCCACCTGGATTAAAAGTCATTATACTGAGAAAAATGTAAACGTAGATAGCTCTTAAAGAACGAAACTATGAGTCAGGGGTCAGCAAACTCTTCCTGTAAAGGACCAGACAGTAAATATTTTAGGCTCTGTGGGCCACACAGTCTCTGCAGCAACTACTCCATTCTGCTGTTTTGGCACAAAAGCAGCCACAGACAATATGTAAATAAATGGGCATAGCTGTGTCCCAATAAAATTTTATTTATAAAAACAGGCAGCTGGCCAGATTTGGCCTGCAGGCACAGTGTGTAGACCCCTGCTCTAAATCAAAGCCTAAATGAGAGTAGTACAAACGCAATGTAGAGAGGAGGGCTGAACTATCTGATTTCCTACTTACCCGTTACTATTTTGGAAGCTGTGGGCACTGTGCTGGTGAGGCTGCCATCCCCAGCCGAGTGGGCGCCAGGAGGATGAGGGGGTGGGGGCACGCTGGGTCGGTTCCTCGGCTTTGGTACCGGTCTCGGTCTCGGTAAGGTTCCACCATGTGGCTGCACAGTCTCAGGGTTACTCACTGCCTGGGTCTGAGAAGCTGGCAGGCCGGAATTCTGTTTTCCTAAAGGTGGGGTACTGGGGGGTGTTGGAGTCTGGGGAGGGGTGTGAGATGGCTGCTCAAGTCCATGCTCGCTGGGCAGCGCCATGGGGTTGGGAGAGCCCTGGCTACTCGGTTTGGTGTGCATCAGAGGTGTGGCCTGGGTTGGGGGCTGCGGCGGCGGGTGGTTGGGAGCTTGTATTGGACACAGGCTGCTGGAGTACCTCCGGGGAGCAGAGAGTTGAGGAGCGGCCGAGGGTTGGCCTGAAGCCTGGCCTGTGTGCTGAGTAGGAGGAGAAGGACTTCTGGTAGATGGCTTTGGTGAGAGACTGGGTGGGTGCTGAGATGTTCCTGGAGAACTCTGGCCCCCAGGATGACCAGGAGGTGGGTTTCCTGGTTTCGGGGGTGCTGGAGCAGGTTTTTTAACAGCTGCACAAAGGGGAAAAATAACAAAACACCTTTCAGTAAGCAGAGCACAGTGATAGCCAACACTATACTACCTGAACCCGGCACCCAAGATCAGCCATGCTGGTATCACGTATTCCCTGACATGATGCGAGGAAGGCACTTCACCTCTGTGGTCTTCCTCCCTAGAACCCACAGGCCCTATCCAACCATGAGAAAAACACCAGACAACCCCAAATGATGGGATATTTTTCAAAATGCCTGACCAGTACTCCCCTAAACTGTCGAAGTGATTTAAAAAAAAAAAAAGGAAAGACTAAGAAACTATCATAGACCAGGAGAGACTAAGGAGACATGACCATTAAATGCAATGTGATCTCCTGGATGGGACCCTGGAACAAGAAATGGACCCTGGAACAAGAAATGGACACTAGTGGAAAAATCCAAATAAAATATGGCATTTAGCTAACAGTAATCGTGAAATGAGTTCCTTTACGTGGCCTTTTGCTTTGGTTCTTTGGAAAAATAGCTTGAGATTTCCCCCTAAGCCCTGAGGCATGACCCTTGCCCTAGTTTCTCTCCAGAGGGTTCCTTGTTTTTGGTCAGGTTGATTGATCTTTCCTGGGTAAGCTATAAACAATTTGGTTTGATACTTTTGTCTGGTCCTGGGCTGCAGTCTGCTCTGTGATTGGTATGTACCTTGCAGGGACTGGTAAACAGACTATGAAAATGAGGCCAGTAGTAACCTACTACACAAATGAAGTGTCTGTGGCCTACCCAGAGGATGAAGGCCTACCCAGAGGAGACCGGTCAGTTCGAGGGCCCCTGCTGGGAGGGGCCATGCCTTGAAATTGACAAAGAATTGTGTATATAAGCAGCCAACCCCACGGAGATTTTTGAGACAGAAAGAAGCAGGAAGAAAAGCAGCAGCAAGAAGCAGAAGGAAAAAAGATGAGCAGAATGTGAAAAATATTAAAAGTCTGTCTCTTGCGTCCATCCCCCTCAGCCCAAAGCCAGGTCTCCAGACCTGTTTTTTCATCCTAGCTGAAAGCCCCTTCCAGCTCTAGCATGTCTCACCCTGCCCTCCTCACTACCAGATTCCCAACCATTAGTAACACTGAGCTCAGCTAGTGTAGGGTGGAGAATGACTTGACCTCAGCTGTCCTTAAAGAAGTCATTCTAAGATGACTTAGGGCAAGAGGGCCATGGTATAGGTAGACCACTTGTGCTTGGGGGTCACCTGTCTGAGCTGGTCTTGCTATTTTCCGTTTCTTCCCATGTTCTCAGGGCAAGAGAGAAGAAAGAAGAAGCAGAGAGAGAGGAGGCAAGGAACCTCCTAAAAGAGTGGTAACATGAGTCAAGTGCTGTAACACAGAAGACAGTGAGAGGCCTGGAAGGGGCCCAGTGGCTGAGCCAGCAGCAACAGGCCCAGAAACAGCCCAGGGGCAGAGCCAGTGGAGACAGACGGCAGGGCCAGGAGGAGACTGTCCTGAGGGGGCTGAGAAGAGGTCTGCACCGTCGAGAAGAGCTGTCCTGCACTGAAGAAGGGAGACTTCGCCTATGTGCTTTCTGATCCTGAGTTGCACCCTGTTCCTTAATAAACCACTTAACTGTAAGTATGGCCCGTGAGTTCTGTGTGGCCACTGCAATGGATTACTGAATCCAGAAGAGAAGTAGAGAGTGTCATGGGAGGGATGACTGGTGTCAGAATTGGTAAAAAGGTTGGAGAGTGGAGGTATGTCTGATCTCCACCTCATGGGGATCAACCTTGAGCTGATCTTGATTCACATTATACCCCTGAAGTTAGACAGTTACTGATGATGCTTCTACTACGACTCCCACCATTTCACAGTAGTGCACCAACGCTGGTGTCTTAGCTGTGACTAACGTACCATGGTGGTGTAAGATGTTAACAACAGGAAATTGGACAAAGGCTATATAACATCTCTCTCTACTATCTTTCCAACTTTTCTGTAAATTTAAAATTATTCCAAAATAAAAAGTTTATTAAAAAAAACAAGTACATCATACACAAATAGGTCTTTAAAGACCTGCCACTGAAAAAGTTCAACAAAAAAGAATGCTTTGGTTAACAGAGGCAGCCCCACTGACCCTGACAGGCTGCTCTGCTCTAAGCCCACTCCTCAGCGCCCTTCTCTCTTGCCCTGAGAACATGGGAAGAAACGGAAAATAGCAAGACCAGCTCAGACACGCACAAGTGGTCTACCTATACCATGGCCCCCTTGCCCTAAGTCATCTTAGAATGACTTCTTTAAGGACAGCTGAGGTCCAGTCATTCTCCACCCTACACTAACTGAGCTCAGTGTCACTAATGGTTGGGAATCTGGTAGTGAGGAGGGCAGGGTGAGACATGTTAGAGCCTGGAAGGGGCTTTCATCTAGGATGAAAAAATAGGTCTGGAGACCTGACTTTGGGCTGAGGAGGACGGACGCAAGAGACAGACTTTAATATTTTTCACATTCTGCTCAGATCCTACCCATCCTCCAGGAAAGGGAGAAGAAATTGAAATGTATCATTCACCTCACATATCACTAGGTTAGGCCCTTTACATAAGTTATCTCATTTAAGTCTCATAAGCTCATAGCAAGATAGACAGTGTTATGCCCGTTTCATGGTGGAAAAAACTGAGGCTCAGAGGAGCCAAGTGTTTCACAAATATGTCACACAGCTAGTAAGTGACAGAAGTTCAGACCCAGGTCGTGTGGACTCCATTGGACTCTTCTTTCTTCTTCCTCTTTCCTACACTACATGGCTCCCTGGTCACAATTCAGAATTGTGGCTCAGAATTGAGGATTGAAAAGGATGAAGTTTGCTCAGTTACGCTGGCCTAGAACTTTTGACCTTGGAACTCAGAAGACCTTTTCACAAAGAAATAACCAACCAGCTAACAAAGGAAAGAACATTTAGCTGAATTTGGAATATTAGCCAAATGCTGGTTGCCACAAGCAACTTTTTTTTTTTTTTTAATTTCTAGCTTTCTGGTCTAAGCAATATTAATTGTAAATCCATACGGAAGAGAAGACCATTCTCGACATTTAAGGATGCAAAGGACTCACAATAGCAGTGTGACAGGCGATGGAATCCAAGTCATATGCTGAGGCAAGGCTGGCAAGAAGCGGGGCCTGTGTAACACCACTGAAGAAGGTGGTGGGAGGCTGCGGTGGGGGCAGAAAGGATCAAATTCATCCTGCCAGGAAGCCCAAGAGCTGTGGTTGCAGGAATTAGGAAGGAGAAAAGCCCCCGAATGTGGCTATGAGGAAAAGTCTCAATCTGACACCAGGGTCATACCTGGCATTCAGGCAGAGAAGCTGTAATTTTCTCAAGGGTTAGTTGAGTTGGGAGTACAGATGAACATGAGGGTGACCCAGAGGAGAAGACAGCCTTAAGAAGGATAAAGTAGAGGTCTGTAATCAAGCAGTATACCTGAATTTGCCTCCCTGCCTGTAATCGGTAATATTTCCACCTGACAATCATCGAGTGCTTTATAAGGGTAGTGCTTTCATAGATCCAACCAACCACCAACCAGCTGATTCCAACTCATGACGACCCAATGTGTGTCACAGTAGAACTGTGCTCCACAGGATTTTTCAATGACTGAGTTTTCAGAAGTAGACAGATATATCTTAAGGAGGCAATTTTATTTCTACTTTACATTTGTCAAAATTAAGTTAGGAAACATCAAATTAGTGGCCTTTAAGCAGTCATGTAACTTTAGGCAAAAGCTAGAAGTCAAACCTGAGTCCAGGGCCTCTTCCCACTTATCATCTCTCCTTATGAGCATCAGGAACCAATCCAGGAGAGAATCTCCAACTCTCCTGGACTCGCCCCTAGGTGGCCACTGCCCTCCCCTGAGGTGGGGCCTCATCATTCTGCCAGCATTACTGCACAGCCAGTGCAGCCTCTACAATGGACAAGCCAACTTCCCCAAAATACTACTCTGTACACCACTGCACTTTACCTGGGAGGCTCCCTACTGCTTAGAGGTCATGTTCAAACACTCGTCCTGGCTTTGCAGGACTTCCACCTCGGCCCTACCCAGCCTACCCACCTCGTTTCTCGCTAGAGCTTGGGCATGGCCTTTGAGGTGGCTGGACCAGTGTCTTCACTGTTCCCCACTGCAAAGCTGTTACCACCGACATGCAGTTACGTATGATAATTTATATGAGAAGTCAATGATAGGAGCTTAGCCAAAAAAGGGGCAGAGGGACCAAGGCTGTGAACAAGTGGGAGCCATTGGCCGCTGCTGCCTGGGCCAGTCTCAGTCCCACACACCTCTCTGAGTGTGAGCATCTCCCATGCTGAGCATGATTCTTTTTGAAACACACATATATTTTTGTATGGCATGGCCCCTAAACTCAAGTCAATATCTAAAGAACTGAGATTTGCTAAGGGAAAAAACCCTATCTGTTCTGGATTTAGCAGAGTCATGGTGGTGCAGTGGTTAAGAGTTTGACTGCTAACCAAAAGGTCGGCAGTTTGAATCCACCAGCTGCTCCTTGGAAACCCTATCAGGCAGCTCTACTCTGTCCTATAGGGTCGCTATGAATCGAAATTGACTTGATGGCAATGGGTTCATTCTGGGTTTACTGAGCTTCCTATGGGGCATTCTTGCAGATGTTCAAGAGTAATCCTGCTCATGTGTGATTTCTGTCATGCACCAACTTAAGGTCCTGGCCATTAAGTAAGAGATACAGTTTCCCTAGACAACACAATCCTGCTTGTTTCTGCCCCTGGCAGAATGTCCTCTCAGTTTTTCTCTACCAACCTATCTCTCTGGGTAAGGGCCAGCCCACATACTCTTTGATTTCCCTTAGCACTTGTGTAAGTTGTCTGTGTGCAATACTATTTTATACTTGCTTGTATGTGTTGCCTTAGAATTATTTCTCTAGGTATTTATCATGAGTGTACCTTAATCTTTCCAACCAACAGGAGGTTTTCCAAGGGCAATACTGCCACTTATTCTATTTCTCTAGCCTTGGTAACAAAGAAGATAGTAAAAATAGTATGGACTCAAAAAATATATTTATCATTACATATACAAAATATACTTGTGACAAATTCACTCTTTCTTAAGTTACCAATATGACAAGTCACTTTGTAGTGAGCGATATTCTAGATAATTGCAGTTGGGAATTAAGACATAAGACACCCTGGTTCACATGGGTTTTACCTGGCTCTAGAAACATCTTCATTGAACCATGTCCTTTTCTAGACAAGGGTCTCTTAATCTTGGCACTACTGACATTTGGGGCCAAATAATCTGTTGTGGGGAGCTATCTTGTGCATTCCAGGATGTTTAGCAGCACCCCTGGCCTCTACCCACTAGATGCCAGTAGCATCCCCCAGCTGTGACAACCAAAAATGTCTCCAGACATTGTCAAATGTACCCTGGGGGGGCAAAAATCATCCCCAGTTGTTCTAGAACTAAGAGGCATGTCATGGATTGAATTGTGTCCCCCAAAAATATCTTTCAACTTGGCTGGGTCATGATTTCCAGTATGTGTAATCTGATGTGATTTCCTTATGTGTTGTAAATTCAATCACTATGATGTAATAAGATGGATTAGCGGCAGTTGTACTGATGAGGTCTACAAGATTAGATAGTGTCTTAAGCCAATCTCTTTTGAGATATAAAAGATAGAAGTGAGCAGAAAGACATGGGAACCTCATACCACCAAGAAAGCAGTGCCAGGAGTAGAGTGCGTTCTTTGGACCTGAGGCTCCTGCGCAGAGACACTCTCAGACCAAGGGAAGATTGATGACACACACCTTCCTCCAGAGCCAACAGAGAAAGCGTTCCCTTGGAGCTGATGCCCTGAATTTGTGCTTGTAGCATACTAGACTGTGAGAGAATAAACTTCTCTTTGTTAAGGCCATCACTTGTGGCATTTCTGTTACAGCAGCACTAGATGACTAAGACACGGCACCTGGAGCTCCCAAGTTGCAAATATTTATCAAGGGCCCACACTGTAATGGGCATAGTAGAAGGGCTAGGAATATTGGCATGCATGGGACAGGTAAGATCACAGCTCACTCAGAGCTTGGGGAGACAAACAATAAACTGAAAAAACAAGTGAAAAATTTTCAAATTGAGGAAAGTGCAGTGAGAGAAACAAATAGGGTGATAAGGTAGAGAATGACTCTGTGGGGTAGGGGGCAGTCCCTGGGTGGTACGGCACTTGGCTGCTAAACGAAAGGTTGTCAGTTTGAGTCCATCCATGGGTGCCTCAGAAGAAAGGCCTGGCTATCTACTTATGAAAAAAAAAAAAAATCAGCCACTGAAAGCCCTATGGAGCACTGTTCTATTCTGAAACACATGAGGTTGCCATGAGTTGGAATCAGCTCGATGGCAACTGGTTTCTGACTGGTGGTTGCCGACTCAGGCTGGTGGTCAGGGAGGGCCTCACAGAGAAAGTGCCCACTGAGCTGAGACCTGAGTGACAAGAAGAAACCACGTGAAGATGTGGGACAGAATTTTCTGGAAGAAAAAGCAAGTGCAGAGGCTCTAAAGAGGGAATAAGTTTAGTGCATCCAAGGGACAGAGAGCAGACCAGTGTGGCTGAAGTATGGCGAGAGAGGGGAGAGTGGTAACGTGGGCTTGGAGGTAGCCCGGGCCAGACCATGCAGGGCCCATGTAGGGGTTTCACATGGAAGCCACAGGAAAGTTTCAAGCAAGAGATGACATGATCTGCTTTATGTTTTAAGCCATTCCCCTGGTGGTTTGGTTGAAGACTATAGGGGCCTGGGAGGGAGCAGATTAGATTATATGTAAACAGGCCGCAGAAAGCCCTGACCCTATTCAGAGGGTGCAGGGGCTCCAGGACCCACAGAGCCTGGATAGCACAGAGGCTGTGGGGGTCCAGGGCTTGGGACACCGGATTCCTGGAAAAGTGGGAGTATTTCTGGAGAAATGACTTTTTGTTCATTAAGCTTTGTGGTCCCTAAGGGAAAACACATCCTTAAATGCCTGATTTTCTGCTCTCTTTTTTTTTCATTTTTCCAATCCCCTTTTTTCTTTAATGACTGATTTTCCCACTAGTCATTTTCATAATGGACATAGAAAAGGTATGTCTGAAATCCCTGCCACTGAACCCTTGCACTAACTGCAGGGGGCTTGCACATCCGTCCCCAAGGGCACACAGAGTAGCGGTGGCTTCTTACCTCGGCGCAGAGTGTGAGGGCTGGGACCAGCAGAATTGTGAGCGGGGCCGACTGAAAGCTGATGGGAGCTGGTAGCTGCCTGGGCCTGGTTTGGGCCAGGGGTTACCTGACTGCTGTTCCTCCCTGGTGTGGGCACAGCTGCAGACACAGAGTCCTTGGGTATTGGAGGACTATGGGGTAGGGGGGTGCGGAAATCAAGTTAGACGTCAGATACTCCCAGCTAGAAAAGCTAAGCATGCTATAAAGTATAAGATGCCAACCAGAGTTTTCACTTCAGTGGGCAAGTAGGTGGTCTTAAATTTTAATTGGTGCCAAACAAGACTACGTATTTTATGAAAGCCACTGTATCAGACTGTCCTCCAACTACACTGCCACTCAAATGTCGTGACAGAGACCATTTCAGAGCCACCAAAAAGGAACTTTCAGTTCTAATTTGCTTGTACTTAAAGAGGATAACATTAAAAAAACAGGAAAAGGGTTTTTAGATTTCAGAATAATGGGATTTTGACATATCCATTATTTTGCTAAGGTGAAATAATAACACTGTACATTATAAACTGTTCGATTATTATCAATAATTTGGACTTGAAGAAAACCCAACTTGAGAGGCTAAATGATTGCTCCAAGTTCCAGAGTGAACAGTGGGGTAGAGATGAGAGGTCACGGTTCTTACTTCTCTGCCAAAGCAGAGCAAGTGATAAAGATTTCGGCACATCCTCTCTAGCGAGCTCTGAACCATCTGAGATGCCACCTAAAGTGGTCTCTGTTGGTCATCTGTCCAGATCAGTGTGGAAAACTGAATTAGTGCAAATTAAACTCTCAAGTTCAAGGGTAACTTTTCTTAAAGTTGCCCACTCCAGGAGACTTATTAAAAGGTTAAGTGACTAAGAGAGCCTTTTAAGAAAAGCTACCCTCTTTCTCTTCTACCTTGTACTCATGTACCAACTCCCTGACAAGACTGAAAGCTGTGGGGGTCTTAGTCCCCTGCTGAGCCTAGCCCAGCACCAGTACATATCAGCTACTCAGTGAATCTGCTGAATGAATGAACGAATGCCACGAATACTGTAACTGAACTGACCTGCTGCATCCAAACATTAGCTCTTCGGATTAGTTAGCGTACTGGACAACAAGAGCAAATGGCACAGGAACGCTGACAGTTTACATCCAACAGGCAAAACAGGTTCACGACACTGCTAGACAACTACTGGCTTCCAGCCTCCACCGCCAAAGCAGGAATATGGTGAAGAGTGCAAACCAATGTTGCTTTCTTTTGAAAACAGGAAAGGAAGCAAGCAATTTGCAGTCTTTTTTCCACGCTTTGACATTTGAAGGAGTGAGGGCAAATGGGGTTCACTCTATGTGGAAGGGCTGTCTCTGGGCATGGATGCCACACTCAACGGCCAGAACTGTGAGAAGGCTGGTGTGCCCAGCACCACTGCCAGCAGAAGCTGGCCTCCTTACCTGCCATCGCCCGGGCTCAGCCCCTGCTCCAGTGTGCCTACAGAGGAGGGGACAGCCCCACCCCCTGTGCTGCTTTCAGCCCTAGAGCTCTGGGGAGGGGGCTCTGGGCCCGCAGGAGCCAAGGTGCTGCCATCTGTGGGCGGAAGTGGCGGCTGGAAAGCGGGGGATATGTGCTTTCTATTTAGAGTGCCACCCCGCCGGTGGGCCTGGAAGTCCATAAGCTTCACACCAAAGCTACACAGAGAGAAGAAACAGTCAACACACCATGCGAGCCAACGACTGAGACAGAAGCCCATCAGTCCACACGTGTTAAAACCCAAACAAGGGGACAGCCACCCACGTTGTCCAGCATGCAGTGAAGCAGCAAGACGGGGTTAATGGTCATCCCTATTACCAAGGTAAGCAGCTCAACTTGGCTTTAAAACTGGAGGAAGCCAACGGACCTGGTACTGATCAATGGCCTTTATCAGTGTGGATGTGAGCCACTGAAAGCAAACTGGCAGGCCTCATCTTCAGTGACGTCGCGTTAATATGTTGATTTCCACACTAAACCTGTGTGTTCGGGGAATGAGATGGCAGCCGAGTCCAGCAGTCCTACCAACGTGGCAACATAAGGTAGCCACCCCACACTGCCACTTCATGAAGAAGAGGTGTAGAGACCCTCGTAAGTGGACGTGCACAGAAGGTATCCGAAAGGATACGGAGACTGGAAGAAAATAGCTGCTTTTGCAAACGGGCCGGGGGTTGGAGGACAGGATAGGAAGAAGACTCACTTTTCACTTAAGGCCACTGTTGTATGACCTTTAGAATTTTTTTTTCGAAAAATAAAAAAATTTTTCAAAAAATGAAAAATAAAAAAAAATTTTTTTCTATTCAAAAAATAAAAAGATAGATGGTTCCTTGGGCTCGTGTTTAGCTCAGGCAGCTGGCAGGTAACTGAGAATCGTTTATTGTGTGCTAACTGGACCCAGGGTATTGCATTTTATAACTTGAAACATGTGAAGGCTAATTTTGTTTAAGAAGCCCTAGTGGCGCAGTGGTTAAGTGCTTGGCTGCTAACGAAAAGGTTAGTGGCTCGAACCCGCTAGCGACTCTGCAGGAGAAAGATGTGGCAGTCTGCTTCTAAAAGATTACAGCCTTGGAAACCCTATGGGGCAGTTCTACTCTGTCCTATAGGGTCACTGTGAGTCTGAATTGACTTCACGGCACACAACAACGACAATTTTGTTGTGGACAGTTTGTCGACAGGAAATACTATCAAACATGTGAATGGGAGCTCAGACAAGTAAAACTTCCACATAGAATAAATGTGGATTTCAAGGTGAGAGAATACAAGTAAACAATTTTCCTTTGCTTTGGGTAAAAAAACAAAACACCTCTCTCTATTCAGATTGGGCAATTAAAATGAGAGCGTGTTGTTTGGTTTTAGTGTAAAACTATCTCCAGTGACATTATTACATATATGAAAGGAAAGCACATCACTTCACACAGCCTCTCCAGCTCTCGGCGCGTGGGGAATGCTGTGGCATTTCATTACGCCCACTGCACTGGTTGGCATCTGAAGGCCCAAATCACAAATAGCTTTAATTACCCTTGAAAAATTCCACAAATCACCCATAGAGCATAGTGCAGAGGCATATATACTGCCTCTCACCAAGTTCAACACAACTATTTTTTCCCTTCCAGAATTGGAAATTACTGTGGTTTCTCCAGGTGAACATCAGAGTCAATAGTTGGTGTCCACTGAGGAGCCAAGTTATACCCAAAATACGCCTCTTTAAAATCAGGCAACCCATTGTGAGAGCAAGGTTGTTCTCACACTTACTCTCAGACATATAGCCACACTATTTGTTTTTTTCTTTTTCCCTTTCTGTTTTTCCCCAATCAGTATATACAGGTGAATTTGCACATGTGTGTATGATGCTGCTCCACTGTAGGGCTTATCACAGATCATGAAGTAAAACCTGAATGCATATGATACAAGCTGACAGGCTACCTACCTGCTTTATGGTCAGATTAAGGCTTGGAATAAACTATAGCAGAGTTCCTCAAACTATCTGGAATCTATCAGTCATGGGTACATAATGGGCCACTCTCAAATTACAAGTCCATTGGGCCAGTACCAGGTACCGAGGGTTTAGCAATTCCTCCACGTGATATCTACTGCTGGTTTGAAAATGAACAGCTCTAAACACACCTCTCCTTCTTAACTAGGTCCCCTTCCATTACTGCCATGCTGGCGGGCCGCTTCCTCTCCAGGGTCCCCGAGTCAGAGTCATTTCCAGTGTGGGGTGAGTGATTGGAATTCGGGATGGCGAGAGGTACAAATGTTTCCGATACATTGAATTCAATCTCTGTAAGAAGAAAAATAAACAAGTATATGAGACAGAGAAGAGCCCCTGGGTGGCACACACTGTTAAGCGCTCAACTATTGGCCAAAAGACTGGCGGTTTGAACCCACCCAGAGGCGCCTCGGAAGACAGGCTTGGCAATCTGTTTCCAAAAGGTCACAGCCTTGAAAACCCCACGGAGCACAGCTCTACTCTGCACATATGGGGTCACCAGGAGTCAAAACTGACTCAACAGTAACTAACAACGAGACATTAGAGTGTACGGGTTGAGGGAGTTTTAAAAGATCCCACTGAAATAGGAACCCCATTTTTCAGCACAGAGGCCCTCACTATTTCATAAGTGGAAGCCTTGGGTACTCTCATCATCTTAAGCATAGTTTACCAGACCATTGGGAGGTGACATAAGAGAACTAGAGACACGGTCTGATTCAGAATGTAAGTCTATACAACCCTTCTGTTTTCTCGTTTGTAAAGAAAAAACAAAAACATGGAATGTAGATGAGGACAATGAGCATGGATTACTTATTTTAATCATCAAAAAATGAGAGATATTTACAGTTTGATATAAAATAGAAATAAAAAATATCAACTCTATACTGCCTATGGCAGTTTTTGCAAGACTCATTTCCTCAACAGAAATCTTGGGCAGAATGCCGATACTCATTTACCCATCACGTATTTATTGAGCAACCTCCATGAGTGAGGCATGGTTCTTGGTGATGGGAAGACAGTGGCAAAGGAAAGATGAGTACAGCCCTGGCAGCATGGAGCTTACACTCTAGTGGATGAGACAGCAGGGCTGCTCTGGCTGAAGCAGGGGTGGGAGGTCAGACTCCCAAATACTCCCAAGGGGATCCGAGGGAACCTCTGTGGATCCCAGGATTGCAACAAACATGGTTTGAAAATCAATCATCTATAAGATAATGTCCTAATTCCCTGAACAGCCCATCTGGATCTTCACAAACAGGCCCAAATCAACCTTTCCAGCTTTATTTTCCACTTCTGCACATATCTAACTACCTAGCTAGAGAAACAAAAAGCCCTCTTTCAAGTGGAAAGCTGCACACTCAATGTCACCTCTCTGGAATCCCTGGTTCCCTTTTTCCCAACACCTGACTGAGCTCGTCAAATATTTCTCTATCCATCTATTTTTCTACTTTGCCATGTATTATAATTTATCTGTTTATGTGGCCTTCGCTAGTGGCCCGAATTCCTCCAGGCAACACGGCATGTCTTCCCAGCAAAACAGATAGCACATAGAGGGTATTCAATATACACCAGCTGAGTGAATAACTTCACTGTTAAGAAAGTGAAATACAAAATAATATGGTTACCGTTACTCCAAAATATGCATGCAAACAAAGACTGAAAAGAAACATGGAAGAGTCAAACCAATTATGTAATCATCAAAAGACTACTGGTATTTTCTCCTTAAGAAGACCGTTTTACGCTATTATAATGTTGAAAATGAAAAGAAAATCACCTTCCGGGAAGAACCAATCGGCGTGCTGAATGATGGGCTCAATCACCGCAACCACGTGAACTGAGGTGGCTGCTGCCATTTCAGCAAGTGATCTGGGAAGGAAGTTCACAAAATTAAAACACTCTCCCCAAGCAGCCTCTAACTTTTGCAGGTTGCATCAGAGCAGTTCAATGATTTTGCAAGGATAAAATATTTTAAGTATAGATGTAAAAATTAAATCCACAAGGCCACGGCCTATGAGTGCAGCAGTGATCGGCCCAGAGGAAAAATTGCCCTGACTCAGCTATCACCCCTTAACCTGCACCGTGATAAAAACTGGTGTCCACAACACACAGGCAGCCAGGAGCAGCTAAAGCCAGTAAGCAAGTGGTATGTCAAAACGCTGGTTTTAAATTTGTCTGCAACAAAGGTGGTTTTTTCCTATTTGAACAGTATTATACATGATAGTTAACCTTCCAAGACCAAAGATCATGAAAAACCAATTTTGCCTGTAATGTAACCAAGAGCCTTCATTGTTACAATGCACCTCTTACTATTTACATGGGAAAACCTGAGGTATGTATGTGGACTGGTCCCAAGCTGAGTGTTCAGAAGCTGGAACTTTCTGCTGCCATGGCTCAGGAATCACCTTCTCTATCCATCAAGGAGCTCATATTCCAGTTAGGAGTCAGAACACCAAGAAAGCAAGCAACCTGCAAAGGACTGACACCCACTGACCACCTGCCATGCTTCAGTGCTTCACATTTTCCCCTCATTTACATTCATTTTGTAACAACTTGTTATGAGGCCCATGCTATAGACAAGGAGCCTGAATCCTTGAGAAGCTTGATCCCAGGTCTGACTGCCTCAACCTACCTCCTCTCTGCTATCTCACTCTGACCTCTCTTTTCACCTGAAGGGACAGTTTTACTCCATTTTCCAACTAAGCAGAAGGTCTGGCTCCTTTCAAATTCCAGTTTAAAATGCAATTCTTTAGGCAAGCACTCCCTGCAATTATCCTTCCCACCCTTTCATATTCCCCTTCCTCTACAACCCCATACCACTCATCTGACTCCTATACCCTTAATGCCTTAGAAGCCTGTTGAATCTGGAAAGAACTCTCTCTTCATATTCTTTGCCAATTTTTTCTCCTAGATGAAGTAATATTTACTGATTGGTAAAATCTTTTATATATTCTGGATATTTTGGAACCTTTCCTAGTTTGCCAATTGTCCTTTGTTTAAGGTGCTTTCTGACATGTAGAAGTTTGTTGCTGTTCTACAGTCAAATCCATCCATTTTTTAATTGTTTCTGGCACTACTTTTATGCCTAGAAAACCTTCTCCATACAAAAAACTAACAAATATATACCAGCCATGTTTATGGCTTCACTTTTTATATTGAACTCTTTAGTCTACCTGGAATTTATTTTGCTGTAAGATACAAGGTATATAGCTAACTTTGTATATCCACTTATCTTTAATTTTACTATATGGTATTGGATTTTTGTAAGTAATCTTATAACTACTTTCTGAAACAAGACTGAGCATACATGGAGGCATGGAGGGAGGCAGGGAGGGAGGAAGAAAGACAACTTTGATTCAAAAAGTCACTGTATTTTTTAATGGAAACTTGAATTGTTTATGATTTTACAAAGCTGACTAGCAGTAACAGGAGGCAGGGAAGGGCACAGGTGGCTAAGGACACACACTCTGCAACCAGCACCTTGGTTCCACCACTTTCCTGCTGTGCAACCTGAAGCAAGTTACTTGTCCTCTAAGGCTCAGTGCCCTCATCTGTAAACATGAGGACAACAGCACCCACTTCAAGAGCTATTTGCGAGGATTACAGAGATAATCATAGTGTAGCAGCAGAGTAAACACTCAAGCAATGCTGGTGATTTCCCAGAAGCTTTCCAGCTGATCTTCCTGATCTCTCTCTTCTATTCGATCCAAATTTCCCAATGCCAACACATTTATCTTTCTAAAGTACAATCAGATGAAGTCATTCTTCTGCTTAGAAACACTAATGGCTCCCCTATGACCCACAGAAAAAGTTCTAAACACCTCAGCGAGATACTTGAGGCCCTTTATAACCTGGTCCTAGTCTACTCAGCTGCAGCCTCACATCCCCTGTGCTCACTATGCAACGTATCCCTAAACTGTAGAAATCAGGCCCTTTCATGCCTGCAATGCCTTTGCTCATACAGGTCCCTTTTGCAGGAAACCACTAATTCATTAAGGTACACATAGGTGCCATTTCCTAACTACTGCTTTCTCTCAACTTCTCAGCCTGAACTACGTTCCTTCATCTGTGTTCCCATTATGCTTTATGATGTCTATGTTATATGTGTGCATGTATATCTTATCATTGTACTGTAGCCGTTGATCTAACTCACTGCCCGAGAGCAGAGCTCTTTGAGAACTGGGTCGATGTCTCATACATCTCTGTATGCCCAGCATCTGGGACATCAGTCCGCTCACAGCAGCGTTCCAAGAATGTTGGCTGAGTGGAAAAATCACTTCAGAACATCCTGGAGTGCATCTTAAACTAGACTGTATATGTTGAATTATATTTCTATTCTTTCCATCAGATGGGAAGAAGATAATAAAATCCGATGATATGAAGAAAGGTTACTTACCCTTCATTTTTGGCCCATAACAAGTTAGGGCCTAATACAATTGCAATGTTGCTGGGAGTCATTTTATTAATCTCGCTGGTCTGAGCAAGCTTTGCAAGGAACTTGATTAAATACCTATGAGACAAAAGGGAAGGAGGAAAAGGGTCCACTCTGAAAGATCTGCAGGAATATTATCTTAGTGCCCAGGTGCTCAATCTCAGATTGCTGAGGTGCTAACCACAGAGTGTTACTAAATTAGAAACTGGCTCAGGCTAAGCATTTTACAAATTTCTTGTATTTGTATTCTTTGTTTCAGAGAACAGACTACCTTAGGGCTTGGGAGAATAACACAGCTCATATGGAAATCTCAATGATTCAGAACCTCTATTTGCTATGTGTTTCTAATCCATTTCTCCTTTATATCCTCTCTATTCTACCCCAAAATAAATTACGTGACTAACAGCGAAGCTCAATATATCTTTAATGTAAGCATAGTTAAAAAAAAGAAAAAAACTATAGGTATACTATTTAAAGGGACATGTATTTGAAAATGCTATGTTGTAATTATGAAAACAGCAAATGTATCTTAAATATATACTCTCTTATGTACAAATGCAGCACTGTAAAAGCAAAAAATTAGGAATGCCATAATTAGCTATCAATAGGAGCTGGTTAATTAAGTTACAGTATATAGTACAGTGGAGTACTATGCAAAAAGTCTGTTATTACGTACTGAGACGGAAAAATGTCCACGATGTACGTTAAGCCAAAAAGGCAAGGAGGAGAAAGATGCATGCAATATACACTACCATTCGGTAAAAGAAAAGAGGAGAGGGCTGGAAAAATATGTACATACGTATACGTATGTATTTGCTTATAAATGCGTCAACTCTTGCTAGAAGGATATATAAGAAACTGAAAAACATTGGCTATGTCACAAGACAGGAAATAGGCGGCTGTAAGATAGGAACAGGAGAGAGATTTTTCACTGTACAACTTCTGTACCATTTAAATTATGAACCATGGGAATGTACTCCCTATTCAAAAAATAAGTTAAAACTAAAAAGTGTATAATAAACAAAATAAAAAGGCCAAATCCCAACCTATTAAGAACTGTAATTCAGTTCCCACCATAAGACACTGAATAGATTGAGAGATGAGTATGTTAAATGAATCAACGAGGGATATTACAAATATTAACCCACCCATAAGGCAAGGTTGATATTTAAGGTATTAAATGCGAATATTGAGTTAAAACTTAGTAATAGGGTCCAAGACTAGATTTAAAGGCCAGGTAACATACCAGACACGTATCTTGTAAAGTAGCCGTGGCTTATAACGAAGTCCTCTTAGAAAATTTTCTTTAGTATTAAATGATTTATGCCCTGGGGCTACCTTTCCCCCTTTTCTCTATGCTTCTTCAACGTTACATTTTAAAGTCAATGGGAAAATAGAGGTTAAATTTCAGCAATTTGTTCTAGGGCAAATATTTTTAGAAACCAAGTATTCTATAAAGTAATATGTAATCTTCATTTCTTGAGATTTTGTTTAGTGGGATGATTTACATTCTATTTAAAGTAAATTTTGTAACATACGTGAAAGATATCATTACAGAAAATCCAACTTGATTAATTTTGACTTTAAATACTGAACCACTTAGATTCGTAATCTAACATGCTGTTTACATGACCAAATTTTTCATGGGAATTTTTTTTCCAACAGATGCAGGGCTAAAATGCTAATTCAACCTATCCACCATTGCCAGACATGATCCTGATGCTTCAGACAGATCACAATAATATACATCAAATCCCCTTTTCAGTAATCCCGAGTTACTCTCCAAAGCATTGTTTTAATGTGCTAAGAATGCCTGGGAGCCCTGGTGGCACAGTGGTTAAGAGCACAAGCTGCTAACCAAAAAGGTTGGCAGTGTGAATCCACCAGCCACTCCTTGGAAACCCTACGGGCAGTTCTACTCTGTCCTATAGGGTTGCTATGAGTTGGAATCGACTCGATGGCAATGGGTTTGGTTTGTTTAAGTATGCCTGAATGAAATGACGTCTCAGCTGGGGCTAAAGATATCTTCACTCCATGGTCAATGGAGCTCTCTGGAGGCTTCGTCAGCAGGATGCCAACCACACATACCTAAAGTTAACAAAATTTTGTGGTGGCAACTTCTGACATGTTCTCCATAAATCTTGAAGTTTTTTATCTTGATCCTGCACGCTGAAGAAAAAAAAATTTTTTTTATTCACAATGATTTATTAACATACATATTAATTAGTAATACCTGTATGAATGTGCCTTCACAACAGAGATGCTTTCATTGTCAGAAAAAGCAGTTTGAAAAGAAGCACTGATTTTGAAATAGACAGATCGGGAGTTAAATACCAGCTTCACCACTAGCTATTTAACTCTGAGCAGTAAGTCAACCTCACTAAGACTTATCTCCTGATTTGTAATCATGCTGATCTGTGGAGATGTCGTGAGGCTTCAGGGGCATAACCATACAAAACCACCTAAACCAATGCTTGGCACATAAGAGACGATGAACATTTCTGTCTAGAGAATGCGTATTTGTTTTTAATTGTGTTGAAAATATACGTAACAAAATATACACACCTCCACAATTTTCTACATGTACAATTCAGTGAGAAAATGAGTACATTAATGTACGGTTCTGTGAAGCACAAATTTTCTTATCCTAAATGTGGCCAAGCCACGGATCAGTTGGCCAAGCTCACAGACACCCAGACCTCTGTGTTTTCCTTGCTCTCAATACCACTCAGCGGCTCCAGACCAAGAAGCCCATTTCTGTTACGAAACAATTACAGAAACTCTTCTACTACATGGTTATGGTTTGGACTTATAAGCTTTCATAGAAACATTCAACAAAAGGGACATGCTAGAGCCTGCAAAGCAAAGTCAACTCTACCCACCAGTGACAAGAGTGTTAGAAGTTACGTATACAATACCCCTTTGGACTTAAAGCTTGCTCTCAGATCTGACCCAGTCTGGAGAGCTGGCCAAAGATAAACTCCTACAACTTTGTAGCTTGTAAGCAAGGCTGCCCTGCTTAAAGCCAACGGTTCCCAGCCAGACTAAAGCTGGGGACAGAGGGGAAAGAACACAGTCTTCAGGTCAGATGGGTCTGGGTCTAAACTCCAGCTCTGCCAATTACTTGCTAATGGCCTTGGCCCTGTTCCTTAGTTTCCCAAGCCTCAGTTTTCTCAGCTGTAAAATGAGAATAACAACAACATCTGCCTTTTATGATGTTAAGCAAGGATTACAGGAGTAAGGAGTCCCTGGGTGGTGCAAACGGTTAACACACTCTGCTACTAACTGAAAAGTTGGCAGTTTGAGTTTACACAGAGGTGCCTTGGAAGAAAGTCCTGGTGATCAACTTCCAAAAAAATCAGCCATGGAAAATTCTATGGAATGTAGTTTTACTCTGACACACATGGGGTCGCCATGAGTCAGAATCGACTTGATGGCAACTGGTACTGGTTATAGGAGGTAACAGGTGTAAAGATTAGTACAGCACTTAGCACATAGTAAGTGCTCTGACAACATTAACTATTATAATAATAACATCATCATCATGTTCCTGCACAGATGAGTCTGCATGCAGCCCAACAAACACAATGCCACTGGCTAGTATGGCACTCATCCTCAGTTACAGGACTTACTTCAATACAAACAGAGTTTGTGATCAGCCAGTCCTTTAATATGGCTCATCCATATGAATCTATATGTCTTCATACATATAAATCACTCAAATTTAAGACAACACATAAATGGTGACCTTCCTAAACTAATCATTATGATAGTCAGTATTTTCACTCTGAATTTAAAATAAGAACTGGGACACATATTCCTTAACAAATAATACGTGTTATTATGCTACTTCAATGCTATTTTATGATCCCAAGGGTAAAACGATTTACAAAAGGGGCACAATATTACTTCATTTCCTCTTATTTTTAAGACTCAGTGTTCCTTAAACTTACCTTGCAACTTGGGTCCACTCGTCATACAGATTAAAAGTCATCAAGGGTTCAGGCAATTCCCGTAAATAGGACTTTAAAGCACCTGAAATCATTAACAGTCTCCTTGAACATGAAACGCAGTAAGGCTGGGAATCTTGGCACATGTGGTTTTGCACACTGAAATTATTTCAACTACAATTGTCCAAGGTATATATACAGAACAAATCATAATCTGGGGCAGTGGGGAGGATGGAGTTAGAGAATGAAATGCTCATGAAAGCAATTCCATCCCTTGTAAAATACATTGAGGGCTCAATAGAAAATAAAATTAGCTTCAGAGTCATCCTCTTAATAGACATCATTTACTCAGGGAGATCTAGATTCGAGGGTGACAGAAGGGAAGAAAATATAAGCATGACTCCAAGTATTTCAATTATAAGCCACCTTTACGTTTACATAACAATCATGAAAACAAAAACAAACAAACACATAAACCCAGGAACAGAACAGATACACACACACACACACACGCGCGCACACACTTCACCACTAGGGAATTTTATCGGAGACTATTTCAGTTTTGTCACTTAAATTTATAATTAAAATTGGATTTTTAGCTGACCAGCTGTCTGAAATAGGACAGCCCACCGCTCTGAGAGGGACTCGATTCACAGACACTCCTTGGAACTCACCTGCTACAGCATGGGGGTCTGAATAGAACTCATCCAGGTGAGAAGTAGAACAGTCTAAGGCAGCTTTTAGTTTCTTTAACTTGGAGGCCCCAGCCCCAATTCGGAAAAGGCCCTAAAGACAATTAAAAGCCATTAGTATCAAGCGCAAGTTGTGAGCCTTAAACTAAGGGCACAGTATGGTCTGACGGAAGAGATTTCCGTCCTGCCTGACTCCAACACCTCCTCATGCAGAGCGCAGAAAGTGGCAACACTGCCTGCCTGGCAGGGCTCTTAGGAGGCAGGAAGAGGACCAAGCACGTCCCCCTCGCAGGGTGATAGATAGAGCAGTTTGTTTTTAATAATGCTAGCTCTTGCTCTGCCCCATTGCTAAATACCTGTGCATATGAGAAACCAATCTTAAAACAGTATTTTATACTTACACAAGGTTGATTCGCTATAAACCAAAACCAAATCCACTGCCACTGAGTTGATTCCAACTCATATGACTCTACAGGACAGAGTAGAACTGCCCCACAGGGTTTCCAAGGCTGAAATGTTTATGGAAGCAGGCTGTCACATCTTTCTCCCACTGAGTGGTTGGTGGGTTCAAACTGCCGACCTTCATGTTAGCACCTAAGTGCTTTAACCACTGTACCACCAGGGATCCTTTTATTTATTTAAAAAAAAAATTTTTTTTTATTGTACTTTAGATGAAGGTTTACAGAACAAATAGTTTCTCATTAAACAGTCCGTATACATATTGTTTTATGACATTGGTTAACAACTCCACGAAATGTCAACCCTCTCCCTTCTCGACCTTTTTTTTTTTTTTGGTGAAAATATACATAGCCAAAGATACACCACTTCAAAAATTTCCACGTGTACAATTCAGTGACATCGATTACATTCTTCCAGTTGTACTGCTGTTCTCATTATCCTCTTCCAAATTATTCCAGCACCATTATCTTCAAGTCACTGTCCCCTAGGCTTCCCATCAAACCTTTGACATGCAGTTGGCAGTCTGATCTCACATAGAGAATTCTTTTTTTTTTTGTATTGTAGTTGAAAGTTTACAGAACAAATAGTTTCTCATTAAACAGTACACATATTGCCCTATGACAATGGTTAATAAACCTACTAACATGTCAACACTGTCCCTTCTCAACCTTGGGTTCCCTATTACCAGCTTTCCTGTCCCCTCCTGCCTTCTAGTCCTTGTCCCTGGATTGCTGTGCCTCATTAGTCCCGTTTTGTTTTATGGGGCTGTCCAATCCCTAGCTGAACGGGGAACCTCGGGAGTAACTTCACCACTGAGCTAAAAGGGTGTCCGGGGGCCATACTCTCAGGGTTTCTCCAGTCTCTGTCAGGCCAGTAAATCTGGCCTTTTTTTTTTGAGTTAGAATTTTGTTCTACATCCTTCTCCAGCTCTGTCCAGGACCCTCTGCTGTGATCCCGGTCAGAGCAGTCAGTGGTGGTAGCCGAGCACCATCTAGCTGTACTAGACTCAGCCTGGTGGAGGCCTTAGTAGCTGTGGTCCATTAGTCCTTTGGACTGATCTTTTCCTTGTATCCTGTTCTCTTCATTCTCCCTTGCTCCCAAAGGTGTGAGACCAGTGGAGTATCTTAGACAGCTGCTCACAGGTAGAATGTAGAACATTGTCTTTATAAACAGTGTTATGCCAACTGAGCTAGATGTTCCCCGACACCATGGTCCCCACAGCCCTCTGCCCAGCAATTCGGTCCCTCAGGGAGTTTGGATGTGTCTACAGAGCTTCCATGACCTTTCCTTGTACAAGTTGTGCTGGCTTTCCCAGTATTGTGTACTGTCTTACCCTTCACCAAAGTTACCATTTATCTATTGTCTATTTAGCTCCCTCCCACCTCTCCCATCCCTCGTAACCATCAAAGATAGTTTTTTTTGTGTGTGTAAACTTTTTCATGAGTTTTTACGGTAGAGGTCTCATATAGTATTTGTGCTTTTGTGATTGACTTATTTCACCCAGCATAATGTCCTCCAGTTTCATCCATGTTATGAGATGCTTCACAGATTCATCACTGTTTTTTATCATTGCATAATACTCCACTGTGTGTATGTACCATCATAGTTTGTTTATCCATTCATCTGTTGATGGGCATCTAGGTTGTTTCCATCTTTTTACTATTGTGAACAATGCTGCGATGAACATGGGTATGCATGTCTATTCGTGTGACAGCTCTTTTTTCTCTAGGATATATTCCTAGGAGTGGGATTGCTGGATCGTATGGTATTTCTATTTCTAGCTTTCTAAGGAAGCATCATATCATTTTCCAAAATGGTTGTATCATTATGCATTCCCACCAGCACTGCATAAGAGTTCCTATCTCCCCGCAGACTCTCCAACATTTGTTATTTCCAGTGTTTTTGATTTGTGCCAGAAATGCCAGAGTGAGATGCTCTCTCATTGTGGTTTTCATTTGCATTTCTCTAATGGCTAGGATCGGCAGCATTTCCTCATGTGTCAGTTGGCTGCTTGAACATCTTTAGTGATGTGTCTGTTCATTTCTTTTGCCCGTTTTTAAATTGGATTATTTGCCTTTTTGTAGTAGAGGTGTTGGATTTTCTTGTAGATTTTAGAGATTAGACCTTTGTCTGGCTTGCAGTGTCCAAAAAGTTTTCCCAGTCTGTAGGTTCCTTCTACTCTTTTGGTGAAGTCTTTCGATGAGCGTAAGTGTTTAATTTTTAGAAGATCCCAATAATCTAGCTTATCTTCTGGGGTTTGTGTGTTGTTGGTTATGGTTTGTATCCCATTAATGCTGTGCATTAGGGCCTCTAGCACTGATCCTATTTTATCTTCTGTGAACTTTATAGATTTTGGTTTTATATTTAGGTCTTGGATCCATTTTGAATTACTGTTTGTGTATGGTGTGAGCTATGGGTCCTGTTTCATTTTTTCGCAGATGGACACCCAGTTTTGCCAGCACGATTTGTTAAAAAGACTGTCTTTTCCCCATTTAATGGACTTTGGGCCCTTGTCGAAGATCAGGTGACCGTAGATGGATGGATTTACATCTGCGTTCTCAATTCTGTTCCATTGGTCAATGTATCTGTCGCTGTACCAGTACCAGGTTGTTTTGACTACCGTAGCTGTACAGTAGGTTCTGAGGTCAGGCAGTGCGAGTCCTCCTACTTTATTCTTCTTCAGTAGAACTTTACTTATCCCAGGGCTTCTTCCCTTTCCATATAAAGTTAATGATTAGTTTTTCCATCTCTTTAAAGAATGTTGTTGGTATCTGGATCGGGATTGCATTGTATTTGTAAATTGCTTTGGGTAGAATTGTCATTTTC